GTATGGGTGGAAGAGGGTCACGAAGTCCCCGCGGTTGGGGTAAGAGTCAAGACTTCGATTTTGGTGACAATGACAACGGTTCATTTAGGCGCGGTGGTCGAAGCTCTTCCAGACCTAGCAACAACAGGTGGTCCTCAAATTCAAGAAGCGGTGGAGATGATTCTAGCAGCAGGTGGTCCTCAAACTCAAGAAGCAGTGGGGATGATTGGCTGATTGGTGGTGGCGCTAGACGATCAAACAGGTCATCACCATCATCATTTGGAAGCAGGGACAGGTATATCTTATTTCTGTAAAATTGGAATATGCATAGTTTTGGTGTTTAGTTTATTTCAATTAATTTTTTTAAAAGTCAAGTTAGCTCCTTTTTTTTGCACTATATATGCACAATACTTGTTAAACATGAATGTCTGTGCAAAGCGAATGTGACACTAGAGCTAAGAAAAGCAGAGCCTGTTTGGTATCCTCCAAATTACAGTGTTTCAGTTCCAACAAGGATAATTTTTAAAAAACAATACAATAGTTAAACTTGGAAGCCCTTGGCCATATTTCTAGTGTTGAAGAATAAAATCCTGCTTGCTATGAAGTAAACATAAATTCTGCAAAATGGAATATTGGAAAGTAGTACTGTTGTTCCATATGTGAAAATGAAGATCACAGATTTTAAATTTCTGCGAAAAAATTTCATTGCAATGTCTGTCATTTTTGCTGATTGTACACATGTTAATTGTTACTTATGTGGCCTTGTGCCTCATTCGGTACTATGCTATTGATTTCCACTTATGTCGCCCTCCTTGGTGTTGTACCCTGATGCATTGATTTATTCGCCTTTTACAGGTTTGGTGGTGCGTGCTTCAATTGTGGGAAAAGTGGACACAAGGCATCAGATTGCCCCACCAAGCAATCATACTAGAAACTTTGTTTCCTAACCTTCAAAGTTTCCAAGGTTTTGACGGTCTGGGGATAGATGCCTCTCACGCCTCTTACTTTTGTTCATCTACCAGATTCCGGCCCAAGTATAGTCTCTTCAAAGTTATGATCCGTTCAAGAGATGCTGTTTTAAGTGGTTTCTTGGTTTTGAAATCCAGCCTGGATCATTCGGAGCTCCACTGATTTATCGTAGTTCTTCACTGCAACAACAGTTCATACAGGAGTTTTTACATTTCTAATTAGTAAAAAATTATTAGTAATTATATCAAGGCCCTCGTAATTGTATTACTGTTTTCTAGTGTCTCCACGCCATAGCTTTTGCTGTAAGGTCATTGGGGTATATCCGTGCAGGAAATTCATGTGTATATAGTGTAGTCAGATACAGTGGAAAGCTTGCCGTGGCCATTTATGGCTGTTTGTGACTTTTTTGTTGGGAAGTTTAGCAAATTATGGGTTGTATCTTGTATGAAGATGACATTAGTTTCTTGAATTCATATTTTGTTAGCTGTTTTTGAATCTTATTTTCGTCAATAGTTTGTAGTAGCTACAGAACTTATTCCTGCAAAGTGCAAACTGAGCTAGGCAGAGACTAATTATTAATGATATCACCGTAGGGTGTTTATGTTGCAAATTTGTCTCCTTACAAGTGATATAGGACTTTGGATATATTTCACATCTTAAATTGAATAGCAAAAAGAAAATGAAAAGAAAATAAATTTCAGTGAAAGTTTCTTCACTCACAATATCATCATTCGAATGGTGTTTTCTTTTGCTCCCTGTCCTCTAATGACATGCTAGTATACTATCATCCCTTGAATTTCATGGATTATATTTTGTTTTTCTCTTTTCAAAACTTTCATAATTTCTATTTTTCCAGACACATAATTCAACTTTGGAGTTTGCATTTTTATAATATTTCCTTGTGATAATATCATAAGAAAAAAAAAACCCAAAAATACGATCCTCTACTATACAGTATTAGATTAACAGATTGATTATTTTGTTTGATTGACAAATCTATATGATGATTAAAACTCCACGGCACTTGCTACTCTACTCCTACATACGGCTAATACTACTATACGAGTATAGCTTACTATTCCCATTATCTTTCTTATGAGGCCGTCCTGGTTAATCTCCGTGATAAATAAGTTTTGTTTATTATTGAGTAAAACCACACTTTAAGTAACGGTTTTAAGGCAAGGCAAAATCGCTACTTTTAGCAGTTTACTCATTTTTACCGCAAAAAGATACACTTTTGCCCCCGTGATATGTGTTTATCACGGATATAAACTTGTATTTTGTCTTCATTGTTTATTACTTGTGTATATACAACTCAACTCATCAAATTCCTTCAAATCCCCTCTTCAATGGAGGTCACCGGAGAATCACCAACCCAAGTTCAAACCCTATCACAAACCAAAACTCTCCCACCACAATACATCCAACCACCGCAACTCCGCCCAACCAACCACCACAAACCACCATCTTCCACCCCCACAATCCCTCTCATTGACCTTTCTCTCTCCTCCCAAACTCTCCTTCCTCAATTATCCTCTGCTTGCCGTTACTGGGGTGCTTTCCATCTACTCAATCATGGCATCCCCATTAATCTCCTTGATCAAATGCGGACCGTTGGATCATCCTTCTTTGAGGATCTAGATGTTTCAGAGAAGCTTAAGTATGGTTGTGATCAGAGTTCTGCTGCTTCTGGAGGATATGGAAGTCGGATGCTTGTTAGTGGGAATGATGATACTGTTTTGGATTGGAGGGATTATTTTGATCATCATACTTTTCCTCTTTCCAGGAGGGATCCTTCTCGTTGGCCCATTCATCCTCCTAATTATAGGTAATTATATTGATTTTGTAATTTTGATTGATTTTGATGAAATTTATGTGATGTTTTAGTTTTTTCAAGAAATGATGTAGACGGGATTTGATCCTAGTTTTCGATACCAGGGTTGAGACTTTACCGGCTAAGCTAGCTAGCATTGATGAATTGTGTTTTATGATAGGTACATTGGTATTGAAAGAAATTTTGGTTTGTGAAATTAGAGATTGAAATCAGGTTTAGTAAAAAAATCAAGAAATTTGAGTTGGTTGTGTGTTACTAATGCCCTTATTGAGTTGATGTTTGATGCAATTTGGAAAATGGATTGAGCATTATATATTGGTGTGATATTGATTGAGAACTTTCACGTCAATCTGTGGAGTGAAGTTTCACTACAGAAATTTTGTTAATGCTAAGGCAAGTTTAGTGAGGGTGTATCTTTAGCTGAACAAAATTGAAGGAAATGCCCCTTTTAATAATTAATTCGATTTATAGTCGAAAGCCAAAAACTTTTGAATCTTTTGGTTTTGTTGGGAAGATTTGAGGGAATCACATATTTTGAGACAAAAACTAATCTCTCCAAGGTCTAGACTTGTCCAAATTTATAGTGTGGCAAAGAATGAAACTTCTGTGGACGATTGGATTATTGCTATGTCTACTAAAAGAATAAAGTTTGTAGATAGTGAACGTAAATATTAGCTCAAACTTTATGTAGTATTTATTGACATAAGGTGATCATTGATCAATATTGACTTGGAAATTAATGTGTTTGGCCAGAAATGTGGTGGAAGAATACAGTGAGCAGATGAAATTGCTTGCTCAGAAGCTCATGGCTCTGATCTCCGAAAGTCTTGGTCTACCATCTTCATGCATTGAAGATGCTGTGGGCGAATTCTACCAGAATATTACTGTCAGCTATTACCCATCTTGCCCTCAGCCAGAGCTCACGCTAGGACTGCAGGCTCATTCTGATATGGGTGCTGTAACCCTACTTATCCAGGATGATGTTGGTGGCCTGGAAGTCTTTAAAGATGGAGAATGGGTCATTGTACAACCGTTATCTGATGCCATTGTTGTGATCCTAGCAGATCAAACTGAGGTACCTCTCCTTCGTCCCTCCTGATATGCTTCTGCACCTCTTGTCCATGCACTCTTTCCTTCCCCTGTTTCCCTCTTCTTATGCATTTTATACCAAGTATTTTGCATCATTGGTTGCACTTGCTTAGTATATGATTACTTGGTTTGTCAAATACAGCAGTATACTGGTGGAGTGTAGACATGATCCAAATGTATTGGGATTTTGTTCTGTTACCTTGTACCTGGAGACTTGTAAATAGGATATAAAATTTATGGAGTACTTCTGAATTCTGATTACATTGAGAGAGGAGTTCGGGATTCTGCTATTTCACTATGAGCTTCAGCTGTTACATTATTGCATAGGTTGCGGTATCATTAAATTAAGTTTAGACATGATCTACAAACCTGCACATATGATTGCATGTAGCAAATGGCAAATCTTTTTCAAATTGTAGCTTTAGGAGGGAATGGGTGGAGCTAATGATAGTACACAAAATTATTCACTAGTACACAGTTGTTCTTCGCCTTCATGTCATCCCTCTTCCTCAACAGCCCTCTTCCTCAACAAAGATATCTATGTCAAAGCAAAATGAATGAATTACTTTTTTAGGTTGGCATATTCTAGTCTTCTTCATCTGACTGTTTTGTAAAATAGTTCTGATGTCTGGTTTTTACTGACTGATATGGTTCTTGTAGGTCATTACTAATGGAGAGTACAAAAGTTCTGTACATCGAGCAGTGACCAATTCAAATAGAGCACGGTTGTCAGTGGCCACCTTTCATGACCCTGCCAAAACAAGAAGAATATCCCCTGCTCCAGAGCTTGTGGCAAAGTCTGGACCTCGGTACAAGGAAGTTCTCTATGGAGATTTTGTTAAATCATGGTACACTAAAGGCCCCGAAGGCAAACGAAACCTTGATGCACTTTTACTGTAATATTTTCATTACAATATTTTTTTTATAAAAACTTTAGATAGCCTTGAAAATTCTCATCAAATTGTAGGAATTATTTACACTAAATGCTCATTTCCATGTATATTGATCAAACAAAGAACACTTGTATATTGACAAGATTATTAGAAAATGAAGAATTTGCACCGCTGAATCTGAACAGCAAACATGAACGTCACCCCTTGAGTTATTTTTGTTTTAGGTAGGCATTCATGTTATAAAATTCATTTTTCTTTCATGCTTGAATGACTTAATGCTTCAAGGCTTCAAATATTCAAAAATAATTTGTTCCTAAAAACTTCTTCCTGGATTCCATTCAATATATATCACATTCTGATGCTAACAAAATACTATCCATCTAATATTCACACACACAATGAAACAAAAGTTGCCACTGCCCATTCGGTTGTACCATTGAACAACACAAAATGTACCCACAACCTAGCCAGTAAAAGATCAAGGACTAGAACAACAATCAGATGGGTTTAACAAAAGATTAATTAATGGCCTTGACAGCTTCTCAGGTGTCGGAAGGTGGCCACTCAAGAAACTTCTTACCAAGGAGTGAAGGCGGAAGAAAACTCTGTGGTGCTGTAGGATTCTCAGGGGTATAAATGTATCCTTTTCCATACCCAAGGTCTCCCATTAACTTCGTTGGTGCATTCCTGAGATGCAAGGGCACCCCTTCGTTCCCCCCAACCGATTCCTTCACCACCCTCATCGCCTCATTTAGCGCCTTGTAAGTAGCCACTGACTTTGGAGCCAGTGATAAATAAGCAATACATTGTGCAAGATTCAACCTGCACTCAGGCATCCCAATAATATGACAAGCCTGGTGACAAGCCACGGCTTGCAAGAGAGCATTAGGGTCGGCCAATCCAACATCCTCACTCGCAAACACAACCAACCTTCTAGCAATGTAGAGTGGTTGTTCACCTCCTTCCAACATCCTAGCAAGCCAATATATAGCTGCATTTGCATCACTCCCTCTCATAGACTTAATCAACGCGCTAATCAAATTATAATGCTCCTCCCCTGCCTTATCATAAGCAAGATGTTTACACTGCATAACTTCCTTCACATCCTCCACATTAACAACCACCAAATCATCCAAATCACAACTCCTACCCTCACTTTCCCCCGAAGATTGGACTTTCCCTGGAACACGACCCAACGCCGTGGTAGCACAAACTTCAAGTGCATTCAAAGCAACCCTAGCATCCCCATCACACTGTGAACCCAAAAGCTCAATCGCCTCGTGTTTAACCTCAACCTTCCTCCCAACACTCAATGACAACCCTTTTTCCAAATCATCAACTGCCCTATTCAACAACTTCTCAATATCACAACATTGCAATTGATTAAGAGTAAGTACCCTACACCTAGACAACAAAGGAGTAACCAAATGAAAAGAAGGGTTCTCAGTAGTAGCCCCAATAAACACAATACTGCCATCCTCAATCACAGGCAAAAAAGAATCCTGCTGAGACTTATTAAACCTATGAACTTCATCAACAAAAAGAACAGTCCTTTTTCCACCACCAATTTTATCCCTCAACCTCCTAGCACCCTCAACAGCCTCCCTAACATCCTTAACACCCGAGGACACCGCCGAAAGCGAAACAAACTTATAAGAGCAAGAACAGGAGTTAACAAGAGCCTTAGCAATGGAGGTCTTCCCAGTACCAGGAGGACCCCATAACACAATAGAGGGTAAACGATTACACTTAACAGCCGAACTAAGGAATGAATTGGGTCCTAGAATATGGTCTTGGCCTACAATTTCATCTACGAATCGTGGGCGCATTCGCTCCGATAAGGGTTCAGAAGGTTTAGTGTCAATTGGGGTTGAAGAAGAAGGGGTAACAGAGAGTTTAGGCCGTTTTTGAGAGGGGGAAATTTGTGGGGTTTCTGGGGCTTGAGTAAAGGGGTGTTTGGAGGAGTTTGAAAGGAAAAATTTGTTCAATTTTAGCTGGGATTGTTGTTGCGGTTGCGAAATCGATTGCGAAGGCGGGGTTTGAAGGCGAGATTGAGGTTGAGAGAGAAGCCATTCGGTGGCTTTGACGGTGGAATCGCCTCCGGTTGCGGCGAGAGCTTGGGCGGCGAGTTCTTCGGAAAAGCCCATGTTAAGGAGATTTTCCATCTTATTATTGTCTGCCATTTTTACTTTGTTTTTTTTTCTCTCTCCTCCTCCGTTGTGATTCTTGGAATTGTGATTGTGATTTTGGGGGTTTATTCGGGGTATTCTGCGCGCCAAATTTTTGGCCTTTTTGTTGGTGAGCTAAAGAGCTGACGGTTCGAGTCAACAACACAAGTCTAGGTGTGATTTTATTTCGGGTCGTGCTCAAAATATACTATATTTGTTTCGAATTATTTGCAACGGTTTGACATAAAATGTGAGTAGAAATATCTAATTAAACAGGTATTATGATAAGCGAGACGAATTAGGTCGACTTCGAGTTATCCAAATTTCCCTCGACAACTTTGGATTCAGTTTCAGTTACGGCGTCGATTTGATTATGGACATTTACGTGATGGTTATGAGTCGTAGAAAACAACTTTTAGTTAAATTAGTGAAGAAAATTAGCAATTAATTCATGTTGATTATATAGATTTATAGGTGCAATTATGCAAATGACCCAAGTAGCCAATCTAGCCATTTCAATTATAGGTGCAAATTCTTAACCAAAAAAAAAAAAAAAAAAATTGAAGATGCTCCCCAGTAGTGCAATTATATTTTGGAATTGTGGGTAGATTCAAGTAAAAACACGAGTATATAACTAACACAGCCTTTACGACATATCTACAGATTACATTATCCCATTTTACAAAATTTGAGCATGTTAGATACTACAAATAAAATCAATACAGGTGATTAATTATAATTTCCAACATCTTCCTCTAAAACAAGGGAAATCCTAACATCGAAATTTTACAAGGGCTTTGTTTATTCAAGTTGAACTAGCTACTAAGTTGTCATCCCTAACAAATTCCATACAAGAGTCGAGCAGATTCTGGAAAATGAGGTTTGGTGTCTCGCTCTTGGCGAGAGACTTGTTCACCTCAGATATCAAGTGCTCAAGAGCTTCTTTCTTGAAACAATGTGCATTTTCCTCGAATAACTTTAACCATGCCTCCTTTGAAAATGACTGCTGATGACTGGAAGGATGGCAAGCAACGCTTGAAACTGCTTCGACTAGATTGTCATCCTCCATTTTTAATCTGAACCTTTCTGTAACGAGTTTTGGTGGCGGGATATGATCAATTTGCACCAAGTGTCTCCATGTTGCTTCAACTGCTTCAACCTAGGGAATCCACAATTTGTGAAGTTAATTAGAAAGTCAAGTACGGATTTCTAAAAGAATTTTTTGAGAAAGAGAGATGTGGGCTACAGACATACCTTTCCAGCAGCAGAAGCTTTTAGGACCATCCAAAGATGTCGCTTGGTATTGAAAGGATGTCCATGCAGCAGCATCTGCTCATAGGCATATTCGAAATCATCCCATCTTTCCTCCCGGATACAAGCTTCTAGCATCGTATTGAATGTACTGGCATCAGGAACATTCCCGCTCTTGATTTTTCTGCTTTCCTGTCCACTTTGTATCATCTTTTTAAAGATCTCTTTAGCTTCATCAAACATTCCATATCCAAGATATGCTTTAAGCATAATGTTACAAGTTGCAGTATTTGGGGAGCAATACTTTTGCATATAGTTGAATATGTATGTCGCATCATGAATATTTCCGCTCGATAAACAGGCTTGGATTAAACCAGTAAAAGTCACCACCAGAGGTTTACTAGCAACTTTACATATCTTGTCGACCTGTGATGTGTCACAAAACTTGCATGATTTTTTTGCTATCAGGGAGTCAATATAGCATAGGATGATAGACAGTATCTAACATGTCCATTTAGCACAAACTTGCATTTTTTTTTTTCTTTTTTTTGCTATTAGGGACTTAATATAGCATAGGAGTCCATGTATATGTATGTGCCCAAATTAATACCATTAAGAGAATGTGTTTAGTACTTAAAAAAAAAAAACAATTTAGCCTCTTAATGCAGAAATGGAGTATAGTAGGAACGAATGCTGGATGAAATACGATGTAAACTATTACATACTTGCATCAGTGCTTCTTCACACCTTCCCACACTACAGAGACAACGAGCGAGGTCATAATAAAGACTGGCTGGACCTACTTGTCCCTGATATTCCATGTCTTGAACAACTGCAATAGCCTCATCTGGTTTACCTTCTTTCCAAAGAGTATTAACAAGAACTGCAAAGTGGTAACTAAATAAGTCATCAGGTAAACATTCAAGAAATAATATCCTAAAATAGATGATAGGCTATACCTCTATATGTTAAAGCACTAGGGACAGTAAATCGTTGCACTTCCTTAAAATACTCATAGACCAAGTCGTACTTTCCACATGCTAACATAACCTGGTTCAAGGTTACAGTTATCAGCTATGTTATCAATCTGAAGACATCAAAATATCACAGGAATATCTGTGTGCTCAACAAAGACAAATGGGAGCACATGCATGTATGGGAATAATTGCAACCCCCTTGTCATGTTTGAAATGGAAAATCAGTTACATGCTAAAAAAAAGACCTAAATTGATTTACTGCATCCACGATAACAACCAAAAGAGAAGATCCCAAGCCATATGCTATCGAAACAACTATATTAGCCAAGAAAGAAAGAAAGAATTGAACTCACAGAATATTTGCACAATAGTTTTTATGTTTTCATGAGGTGAATGGAGCAAAGATATTCTACCTCCATAGCAAGTCCATATGTTGTGCTTGTTGGCTGTTGACCAATTTCTTCCAATTTCTGCAAAACCCATACTGCTCCTTCCCATTGTTTGCTCTTAACACAACCGTTCAAAACCTGAAAGCAATTTAAACTTCATCACCTTTTCATATCACGCTGTCATCAAAACTCTTTTTCTTTGCCACACCCTCTTTTATTACAATCATCATTAATCTTCTTGTTTCAATCATTTCAACATATATATCCTAGATGCCAATTTTGATGAGGATGGTCCACTAGTACAACAATAGAAACAAATAATTTCTACTCTTATTGTACTTACAGCATGGTAAATTACAATGTCGGGCTCAAGCCGTGGATCCCAATCATCATGATCTTCAACCTTGAAGTTCTTTGGCATAGATCTCATGTTGTCAATTACTTCAAAAAGTTCCTTCATATGACCAACTTGCCCAAGAGTAACAGCAATTGAGCGATAAGTTACAATGTCAGGATAAGTAGTCTTGTGTCGCTGCAGTGGAATACAAGCATCAGTCAGAGTTTACCCTATACTGAAGAAATTATTATTTTAAACTACAATCAAACACCACAACTGGGGAGGGTAGAGGGAGGAGGGACGGATACACTGGGGAGCTTAATCAATAAAAAACAAATACCTGCATCGTGCAAAACAGATTTAGTGCTTCCACAGGTCGTCTTGCTTTCCCAAGCACACCAAGTGCAGCTGTGTAGACATATCTAAAATTAAAAGCATGATTTAACAGAAGTAAATTTCGGTGTCAGATATATATTGTGTATATGACAAATCTGACATTAGGCACAGTATAATCTGCAAATTAATGCAGAATGGCCGTGCTTGAATAAAGAGACACAAAGGCCCAAAAAACATATGTTTGATACCAATGTCAACAAGTCATCTTGTAAAGAAGCTAGAGAAGGGAACAGAAACAATAACCAAACAAGACAAGGAAAACTAGAAGACGCTTTACCACTGTCAATTTCCTCTCTCAAAGAATGAGAACATATAGAACAGTTTTGTATTTCATCTTTTTTATGACCACCCTCCTCACCTCTATGGCTATCAACTATAACCGAATTGCAGCATATTCAAAGAAGCTCTTCATAATTCTAAAAGAAAGAAGAGTAAAGGCCCTTTCTCATGATCCCATGCAAGAGGGAAGCCTAAATCGAAAATAATTCATGATGGGCCTTAGGGCCAATAATGTATTTTTTTTTTACCTAGCCATTTTTGAGATAAAAAAAGGGTAAATCAGGGGATTTTTTTTTACAAATTCTAAAATCTTTCTCATCATTGGCATCTTACTTAAACCGTTACTCCTTAATAATGGAGACTTGGTGAGAAACAAACCTGATATTATTGGATTTGTAGCGCTCTTGCATTTGAAGCCAATCAATTAATTGCAGCACCCTTCGCCAATTTCCATATTTACCCAATATCTGAATAACCTTAAACATAGAATGATCAGAATATCTAATTCTGGCACTTCTCATTGTCTTAGCAAACATCCACTCTGGCATGTCCATATCAGCATCATTTAAACTGGTAGAAAAACAAAATATGTCATCAACTATATCTAGATAAAACACATATAGAGGTAATAAGCAAATAACACCACAACGCGACCCACTACTCACTGCATATAGCATTTGGCCAATCATGCCAGATGCCAACCAAAAAGATACCTAAAAAAAAACTTACTTTTGGTTTGTGCTCTAATAGTTGGAAAGGTATGCTGACTACTTAGGGGCATGAAGTTTGAAGTTCAATGCAATATATGATCTCCCAAACTTTCCTTTTTATTTTCCTTTCACTCCCCATGCTCTCTGAGTCTCTCCTCTTTGGATGGGGGACAAGAGAGTAGATGCCACATAATTGGAGGAACCCCCATATATGAAAACCAGATATGGCATATGAATTGCATGTAGCCCACCCCACCTCCCCCCCCCCCCCCCCCCCCCCGGTTTTTTGTTTTTTTTCTCAATTTCCCCTTATAATACACCAAATTCAACACTTAATGATCACATATCTATTAATATCTCTTCACATCACATGCAAGGGTCTAGGGTGGTTGGGGAAAGGAGCATGTAATTTTATAGATTTGTACAACTTTGACAACAAGCGATGTGACTTAAAGGTATTCCCCAAGTCTTAGGAAGGGCTAAGTTAAAATTGAATTAATCTGAGATCATTCAAGCACCTAGACTAGCAGAAAAAATTTAGCATATGCATAAAAGAATATTTGTATGCCAGCGTGCTGAAGTGCAAATACCAACCATTTAGCAAGATTCTCTATCCTTTCATCCATTATCATCTTTGAAACTCGCGGACCATCCAGGTCACCATTAAGCAACTCAGACTGTTGGAAGATAAACCTTTCCATCCCCAAATCATCATCAACACTCATCTCATTCACTGGCATGCTCTTCTCTTTAATGAACTTGGTCTTTGTAGAAGCAGTGGTGTCCACATCAAGTTTCTTGCTCAAACCAGTTTTTGATCCTACATAGCTCAACACTTTCTGTGGTCCTACACTGCTTCTTGCTTGAACCCTTTTACCCACCTCTTTCTTTTCAGCAACTCCTTCAAACCTTTCAAAGAATTTACCTCCTTCCTTAGAATCCAACCTTTTAATCCACTTTTTCAGAACAGTCTCACCCTGTTTCTGATGCTGTGGAACATCTTTACTGAATGCAACATTGCTTCTTGCTTGAACCTTACCACCCACCTCTTTCTTTTTAGCAACTCTTTCAAAACTTTCAGAGCATTTATCTCCTTCCCTAGAATCTGACCTTTTAACCCATGTTTTTTGAAAAGTCTCACCCCGTTTCTGAAGCTGTGGAACATCTTTACTGAATGCAATGTTGCTTCTTGCTTGAACCTTACCACCCACCTCTTTCTTTTTAGCAACTCCTTCAAAACTTTCAGAGCATTTATCTCCTTCCTTAAAATCTGACCTTTTAAGCCATGTTTTTTGAAAAGTCTCACCCCGTTTTTGAAGCTGTGGAACACCTTTACTGAATGCAACATTTCTTCTTGCTTGAACCCTACCACCCACCTCTTTCTTTTCAGCAACTCCTTCAAACTTTTCAGGGAATATATCTCCTTCCTTAGAATCCGACCTTCTAAGCCACGTTTCTTGAATAGTCTCGCCCCGTTTCCGATGCTGTGGAACATCTTTACTGAATGCAACATTGCTTCTTGCTTGAACCCTACCACCCACCTTTTTCTTTACAGCAACTCCTTTAAACCTTTCAGAGCGTTTATCTCCTTCCTTAGAATCCAACTTTTTAAGCCACGTTTCTTGAACATTCTCACCCCGTTTCCGATGCTTTGGTACATCTTTACTGAATGCAACATCAGTATGCTTCTTTCCAGGGCCACTCCCTCCCTTAACTTTCTTCTTCTCTCTATCAATTCTAATAGACTCCATCGCCTTCAAATACTTGTCAAATGAAGACTTAAATTTAGTGTCCTCTTTCACAATATTGTCTCTCTCTATCTGTGAAGCTGAGAGAGCATTATTAACATAATTTCGTCGTCTCGATACTAAAACCAATTTTTGCTCATTCTTTCTTCTCACATTAGAAACAACTCCAATGGCAGGTGTCTGAAATTTATAAATGACAATAATATACTGTATTAAGGCCAATTACAAAATGAATGAAAATTGCAACACAGATAAAGATTACACACAAAAAATTGCTCAATTAACATAACTTTAGATATTACTCCTTAGTATTCTTTACTATAACTCAAATTATTTTACATATTATACCCATATTTTAGACAATCAACATCTCAATTGCTCAATAGACAAATCATTCATACAATTTGTAGTTTTGTAATGTGAATTTTTAATTTTTGCAGGTAACTGTATACAATAAGTTTACTCATAGTTTCAAATTATACTGTAAAAAAAAAAAATGAAATTTAAAACATCATAATTCCAAAAAGGCAATAAAAATTTATCAATATATTGAATAAATACCTGAAGCATGAACCCCATAGGCAATGAAATGCAACCCATTGAATTCACTGGCATTGCAGCCGCTTCTCTAAGCTCACCTGAAAGCGCTACCCCAAAAAATAAATAAAAAAAATATAATAAACCCACCAAAATTTAATCAAATTGGCAACATCCCTCTTCGTAATTATCAAAGTTTGAATGTAATTTGAACAGCAGAGAATAAAAATTGGAACTTGAAATAGTTGAAAGGTATTACCCAAATTAAGCAAGAAGATAGAATTTTGCTGAAGGATGTACATGACACACTCAAATACTCAATTCATACAAGAAATCGGAAGCTTAATGGCATGATAGATACTCCGCAGTAGAAAGTTAAAATTCATATCTCAGAGAAGTGAGGGAGAGATAGATGTTGAAGAAGGTAGAAAGAGGATAGTTTGCCAAAACACCCTTTGATAAAATGACAAGATTTAAAATAAAATAAAATAATAAATGACAAGATTTAATAATAAAAAATAAAATAATTGACAAGATTTAAAAATAAAAAATAATTATGGTAAAATCTTTTACTTCATTCATTTCAGAGTAACAAAAACTTTGGTTAATGTTATATGTGGCTGACTGTATGGATAACCCATCACGGGATTATTTGGTTAATGTTACAAGGTTACTTTGTTAAGATTACAGAGGTTACTTAAAAGGTTACTCTGTTAGTGTTGTAAGAAATATTCAATAACTATACTATTGTGACTATAATAAGGGTTATTCGATTAGTATTATAGGGATTACTCCGTATTTTACAAACGATCATACGATGTGACCAGTTACACAGAAAATACGTTGTCAAAATGAATGTCCTAATTTGATTTTGTGTCGATTTTGGATGTAATCCTCATTAGTCATAAACTACTAATTAGTGTATTATTTAATTGAGTGTATCTGACTATATGTGTATTCATTATTAAGGGTATAAAGTTTCACTTTCTCAAAACAAATGCAATCCAATTTTTTGCGATAATAAATAAACAAACAAAGCATTATGATCCCATTAATTGTTGGTGCAGTGGTTATTGGGACTGCACTTGATAAGAATGATCGTGTCAGATCTTTCACAATAACAATTGAGAGAGAATTAGAAGTTAACCAACCAAAACTAAACCCCAAATCTAAATTAGCTCAATTGGTGAACTAGGTATAAACATAGAAAAAAAAACTTTAAACGCAAACCATTATCGACTGAACACGTCATCAAACCCCTTCTAAAACCCACTGACTAATCACTGGACTGACTAGTTACTCCACCAAAAATACCCAAATCAAATGACAATCTCCAGCACCATCTACCGCCGCATCACCAATGTTCGCACCTTCTTCTCCTTCAAATCCTCCATCACTTCAAAACCCACCACCACCCCAACCACCACCAAGAAACCTCCTCTTCTCTACAAACCCAACAACCCCTCAAACGACGCCGTTTCCCTGCAACTCCTCTCATGGGGTCGAGGTTCATCAGGTCAACTCGGCAGTGGAACCGAGCAAACTCGCATTTACCCAACCCCAGTTGCTTCCCTCCTCGTCCCTCCTTCGTTCCGTCTCTCTCCATCTCCTGGGTCTCGCTCTCCTCCATTGTCGGAAAAATCGGGGTTTGAGGTCGGAATTTCATGTGGGTTGTTTCATTCTGCGGTTTTGATTGATGGGCAGTTCTGGGTTTGGGGTAAAGGTGATGGTGGTAGATTAGGGTTAGGTCATGAAGATTCTGTGTTTGTTCCTACTTTGAATCCTCATTTGACTGGTGTTAAGGGTTTGGCTCTTGGTGGCCTTCACTCTGTTGCTCTCACTTCTCTTGGACAAATCTTTACTTGGTCAGTTTTCTTTCTTTCTTGATTGTTGTTTGTTTTGTGGTTAGTTTGATTTGAAAATTCTTCCTGTTTGGATCGTATTGTCCTGGAATTGTTTTTGTTAGAGAGTTGAAAGTAATTGGAATTGTTGTTGTTGTTGTTACTTATATCATGATTATCTAATTAGTGAAGTTTGTGTTGAATTTATATAATGGTTTATTGAGTTGATTAGTTTGATGAAATTCTACATGTGAGATTGTACAAAAGATAATTGCATAAAGTATTAGTATTAGTGTAGGATTATGGGGTGAAGATTATAATTCATAATGTATTAATGTTGGATGTTTGTGTGATGGTTACCAGGGATTAACATGCAAAAATAAATCAAGATTGTGCAATTGTGCATACAATCGGGTTAACAGTTCTAGGAAAAAAGAGAAATATAATTATGTCAACAATTTTTTCAATTATATATTTTCAGCTCTATTACAAAAGTTTCACTTGATTTGCAAAAATTGTACATCTTTGAGATCATCTGGATGGATCTAATGGTCGCCACGCATCAATAGATGGTGTAGTTCAGACAACTTTAGAGTTTAGAGGAATATTTTTTTTTTTACAAACATGAGATCAGTTATAGGAGAGTTCTTCAACAAAATGAGTATAGTTTCTTTTACTTCTCTAGTAGGTTCTTGAGTTTATCAGTTCTACCTAGGCCTGTTCACGGATCGGATATCATAAAATTGATATCCAAATCCGATCCGAAAATTTCGGATATCATAAAATTGATATCCAAATCCGATCCGAAAATTTCGGATATCCAAAATTTTCGGATCGGATGCTTCGGATATCCATTATCCAATATTAAGTAAAATTGGTTATGATTACTTTCTAAATTTCACTAATTTTACCGCTTTTTTATCGCTAAGTTGTACAACATATTTTAACAAAATAGTAGTCTTTTTGCAATAAATATTATCATCAAATATATTAAGAATATTATAATAAGTTAATAATACAGGGTTAGTTTTATATGAACAATTTAAAAATTTTATATATATTTCACTATTTCAGCCTTTGTATTTCGGATATCGGATATCTGAAATTTTGAAATCAATATCCAAATCCGCACCCGATATCCGCTTTTTCGGATCGGATATCCAAAAATTCGGATCGGTTGCAGATCGGATTATCGGATAGTTTTGTACAGGCCTAGTTCTACCTATGTTGGGCCAGGGGTATGGGATCGGTTGGGTTAAATGTTTGCAATTTCAATCATGCAATAATAGTGAGGTTTGTTTACAAATTCCAATCGATGTTGATTTGAAATGCACCATCATTTGCTACTTCACACTAAGAATTACATTTAGTTTACTGATTTAGTTTAATTTGGTCCATTGTAATATGAGGCCAAATACTCTTTTGCTTCGTTGGATATGACATGTAATACTCATCAAGTCAAGGAGGGTTAAAAGGCCAAAATCATCACTCGACAAAGAGATTGTGTTTCATAGATTATTTGGTTTCAATTCTACAAAATCATGAATGAATTTTTAAAATTTCTGCAAAGCTTGATGGTTTTACCTTTGAATAATGAAGTTTGCAGGGGCTATGGTGGTTTTGGTGCTCTTGGTCATTCCGTCTTCACAAGGGAATTGATTCCTAGGCTAGTTGAAGGTCCTTGGACAGAAAAAATTAAACATATATCGACTAGTGGAACACATACTGCTGCTGTCTCTGTATCAGGTGTGTTGATTGTGTGCAGAAAATTTCCCTTGTGTTGCTCTATTGGGGCTATGCTGTATTTTCTCCATTTCTCTGTATGTGTTCTGTCTTTTCCTTTATTTATTTATTTATTTATTTTTTTTTTTTTTTTGGTGGAGTGTTATATGAGGAGGTATTTTGCATGATACCTTGTCCACAAAATCTCATTTAAGCTATTGCAATAGATTCTCCTTTCTCGATTTGATAACTTTAATTCTTTAACTTGACACGGGACCCATTTGATCTTTCAAGGTTTGCCACATGTACGTAGAAATAGTGATGCACTTTATGTGTCTATCTTGATAATTCTCTTTAGATAGTGAATAATCTAAATTTGCTTTTCTTTGCTTCTAGCTGCCAAGAGGGCATGATTGCGATTTACTTTTCATTTCATTACAGGTGAGATATACACTTGGGGACGAGAAGAAGGAGACGGTAGATTAGGTCGTGGTCCTGGACGTGGCCCTGACCAAACTGGTGGGCTTAGTGTCCCAGGCAAAGTAAAAGGAATGCCGGTTCCTGCTGCTGCTGTGGCGTGTGGGGGTTTTTTCACAATGGCACTGACAGAAGAAGGGAAACTTTGGTGCTGGGGAGGTAACTTCTTTTTTCTCATCTAGATGACTTTAGGCTATTGTTATTCACATATGATGTTATATGATTTCTGATGAAAGTTACATGACATTATCTTGGACTCAGATTACTCTTCATCCTGAATCTCTGATAGCTTTATTATGATCTAGTTTTAATAATTCACTCCACATCCACAAATTTTTTCTATTGATAGCTCTTCTATTATATATTCTCCATGAAAGTGAAAGCATTTTCCATTCTTGATTTCATTCTCTGCTCGCTCACCATTGGATTTGCTACAATGGACATATACATCTTTCACTTGGTTAAGGATACTTTATTATGTTCACTTTAGTATTCCACTATTTTACCTGTTCTTGAAGTGTTCAACTCACTTTGTTGTTTTGTCCCTTCAACTGGCTCGTACTGATGTTCTCCATCTTATTGGGTTTCTAATTTGAGGTATTCAGTAGTATTACATGCTTTTTTCGTGAAAATTAATCTACAATCTCTACATAGTCGAATATTAAAGTTCTCTTTTTTATATATTAAACTAGTTTTATGCCCGGGCAATGCCCCCGGATTGTTGATAAAAACTTAAATCTACTGATTAAGTCTTATTTTTACTAATTCTCTATTATTTTTTAAAATAAATTAAATATATTATAAATGGATCTTGTTTAAAAGAACTTTTTAAAACGAATTTTATGATGAAAATAGAATCGAATTATAGGATATTTATTAAAAGTTAGGATTAATTTTGTATATATGAAATATTAGAAGTATATCGATAATAAAACTCTATTCAACATTTTTATCTTAAAAAGTTTATCCAAAATTCGCTTACTTAGCATCAAATGTGTCACAATAATACTTATTTGTCGCCTAAGTGACGCGACACTTGGCGAAAAACTGGAATGTCAAGTGTCGCTGTCTCGTGGCCTGACTGCGAGACTGACTTTATTTATTAGTGATATGATATAAATTTGGATCTGTGACAATTGTATCCTCTTTTAGGGGGAAAGGAAAAAGAAGAAACCTGAATGATTTTCAAAAGTTCTAGCTGTTGCAGAGTACTGAATGCTCACTGTTTGTACTTAATGATATAAATAAATGTACAATCCTATTGTGCTCAGAACTTATGATCCTGCTGCTACTATAGCGTTGTATCATTAGATTACATCTTTTTGTTTTGTTCTGGCAGCCAATTCCAACTATGAGCTTGGAACGGGGGATAAAGTGGGTGGTTGGCAACCAAGACTTAATTCTTACCTTGAAGACATGCGTATTGTCCAAATAGCTTGTGGTGGATATCATTCTCTTGCTCTGACTGGTTAGTTCAAGAATCTTACGCTGCTATAATTCCGCTTTAATTTTTCTCGCTTTATAATATCTAAATGCATGTACTATCTGATCCCAGAGGGCGGTAAGGTGCTTTCATGGGGACACGGTGGACACGGTCAGTTGGGTCATACTTCTATCCAAAATCAGAAGGTGCCTACAATGATTGAGGCTCTGGCTGACGAGTGTGTTACCTCAATTGCCTGTGGAGGCTCGGCTTCAGCAGCTGTAACAGGTTATGACTTGCATATGTTTTCATTTTATGTTATCAGGGGTCAGGGACTAAGGGAGATGAAGTGGGGTGTTGCAACATGCAAAGAATGGTCCTGAGTCACATACTTTATACAAATAAATTTTGTTGTGCTTATACTGCTTAAGATGGTTGCATTTTTCCTTGGCTCCTTCCTGACAAGCGTTTCAAAATAACGCAAATAAGTCTCAAACCCTTTGCCCCCTCCGTTTTTACTCAGTATTGGAGAGGTTGAACACCTTATTCCACTGATACTCACTTTTGTCCGGAAATAATAGTCAAATGTAACACTTTGGGAAGTTAGGTTGAAATTCTATATAATATTGTGATCTTTGATGGGGAGATCCTGGAAATGGCCCAATCAGGAATTTTGGATCAGCAAGTCAGTGTGACTTTTATATGTGCTTGGTTGATATAATTTTAGTTTTCCAAGGGGGGGTGGGTGTGTATATAGAGACTCCAGTTTTGAGTCATCTGTTTGCTCTTTGTAATATTTTAATGTTCATAGAGGCCAGAGAAAGACGCCATACACTTTCATGCCTTTTGCTTCGGTGATACTGAAACTGACATTGATCTTTTCAAACAGCGACAGGGAAGCTGTTCATGTGGGGAAACGCAAAGGATTCTCAATTAGGGGTTCCTGGGTTACCTGAGATAAATCCTTCTCCTGTTGAAGTGAACTTTCTGATGGAAGATGATGGCTTGGGGCCTCACAATGTTCTTTCTGTTGCCGTCGGAGCATCGCATGCCTTGTGTTTAGTTTCGAGATCAAGCTGCAAAGAATGAAATACGAACTCTGGTAGATGTTTTTTGTTCATGATGAATAGTAAAATAAGTAACAAAATACCTCTGTCCAGGTAATCCCTGTAGGGTCCTTGACATAAAAAGAGGAATTGTTATTGCTTAGGATAAGTGAATCATCAAAGTTTAGTTGTTTTAGATTCAAGGTTGAACATGCAATTTTGCGCCCTACTCCCCCTCCCCCTCCCCCTCTCTATTCTCCTTTTGTACGTAATCCGATTTTGGCGTTTTCCCCACAATTGGGTGAAAGGACGAGCAACCAAGCCACAAAGTATCAAGGGCGTTTGCTGCTGTACGTGCACTTTTTATCTGTGTAATAACATACAACCCTGTAAATCTCTAGAAATACTCCCACAATCCGGGTTTTGCTGGTCTGTGATACACTTTTTTTTTTACTCAACTATATGAAGTAATGCATACTGTTCTTTTTTTCTTTGAATTTTTTTGCTCCCTCTTGGTATAAGCAATGTATATTATGGAGAAAGTCTTTCTCCAATAATTGTCCATTGGTACTTTTAGCCTTTATACTGGTATAGATATTGTACCAACATGAGATCTTTCAAATACCAAGTCTTTAGAAAAGTGCGGCCTGATTTTCACAGCACCGCCAGGGAGCACAGGGAAACAGAGGTTTCACCTCTCGGTGGCCCAGGAAAAATAAAACAGCAAGTTTGGTCGGTGAGTGGGCTGGTGGGTTTGGGAGGTGGAAGAGAGATTTGGACAAGAGGGCTTTTTGTGCTAAAATAACTACTTATTAAGCAGTTAGAATTAAGATGGCTCATGCCTTTAATGGTGGGTTCCAGTCTTGCCGATCCTCCCATGGTAAGACAGAAGTCCGCTATGGTCATGCCTCCAAAATCATCTTTTTCTCTAACAAAAATTTGTTTTTGAGTAGTCAAATCCCCGGAAAAGTTTTGCACACCATTTGCTAAAGATTGCCGGTTTCTTTGGATTATTAAAATGTCAATTTATTGAAATGTAATGGAGTCGAGAAACGAACTCATACCACCTGGTTCAGCGGGGCAAACACCCCTTCGTTTCATCTTTACAATTAAGTTGATGCCTGGGGGGTACAAAAGGTTGGAAAAGATAAAGATAACCGCCTGTTACTAAGACAACCGCGAGAAAAATTTGAGAGAACTCGTATCATTGTGAGATTCTCCTTGTCAAATTTATACTTCACCAGTGCCAATGCCAATTTATATGCATATTTTCTCCATCAAAATTGGAGCTGACATTCAAAAAAAACGTTTTTGGAAATCATGTAGAAACCAAGTCAGACTATGGAAATCAAGAAACACTATCAACTGGATGCTGCTTTCACAGCCTTTTCAGCTGCATCATCGAGGTCTTCAGCTGTTATGATGGTCATATTACTCTCCTGCAAATATAAGTTCATTCATGATCACCCGAAAAGAATATAAATCCCAATTGCTTAAAACGAAAATATATCTAAAACAGCAAGATCAATTTACCTTCAATATTCTCTTTCCCTGGTCAACATTTGTCCCTTCAAGCCGAACAACCAAAGGTACCTTCAACGAGACCTATTCAAATATGAGATGAAGTTAGCTTCAAAAGCAAGTTTCAAGATTAGCAACATATTTGTACAGAAACAATACATTGAACAACAAAATTTAGCATTTTTTAAGCCTTCGCCAAACTTTACATTCTTGTATATAACAGCTCTACTCCATGATCACCAACGATCAGAAAATTCATAATTTGCCGAAAAATTTCAAGGAGATTTTGATGAAAATGAAAATGCATTTACAGAATAAGACAATGACATATCCTACCAGGAACAACGTCTTGTCAAGATTATCTTGTCCAGTTGCTCACTAAATAGTACTTCCTCCGTTCTAGTAATATTGCAACAGCTGGACTTTTACACTATTCATCACGTTTGCTTGACCACATATTATGATTTATACGTAAAGTAAAATTTAGTCATGTAGGGTCTTGTTAAATTCGTCTCGTAAAATACTTTCACAATATCAACTTTTATATCTTTTACTCTTATATAATTCTAGATATTTAGCATATAAAATGTGCTTTGGAATGCGTAATTTCATCCTTGTTGCAATATTTGTGGAAACAGAGGAAGTAGTATATTTTGAGAGCTTCAAGAGAAGTAACCTTTCAAAAGGCCATATATGGCCATTCCTTGTGTGACATTCTATTAGCATTGAGCGAAGACAAGACAACTAAGACCGCCCGGCGCCAGATACAGATCCTACCACTGTAGGGGAGTAAACTTACCTCAAACTGGTTCAGGATCTTGTAAAATGCTACTACATAAACTAAAAAGGTTCCAACTGTCAAATCTTAAAGTCATGCTTATTACAAACAAACCTATCTAAATCTACACAAAGTCAATCACCTGCTTTTCTCCTTCCATCCTAATGTGGTTTATATTTACACCAACTACAAACGGTTATTATATCGTCTATGTTGTGAGTTTCAAGACCTCTCTTCTACAGGCTACAGCTCATCTAGTACTTGGGAATAGGGATCAGATCACAGCCACACAGGGGTATTATTAGTACATCAGGGTGGAAAAATTTCTTGAATCATAACAGCTGCCAAAATGGTGTCAGATGTATCTAATATAAAAACAAAAATATTTTTTGTTTGCAATTTTACCTGTTTTGCAGCATTTACGATCCCACTGGCTATAACATCACACTTCATGATTCCTCCAAAAATGTTCACCATAATTGCCTTTACTCTCTCATCAGAAGTCAATATCTTAAATGCTTCAACCACCTGTTCCACACATTAGCAATTAATAACTAGCCAAAGAGTTCATGCAGTAACAACAACAGCCATCTAAACCAATTTATCAACCCTACTCCCACAAAATATAAATGGTAGTATGGTACCCCAAGACCTAAGATTCAATCTCATCTATTTCACTGCCCTTTGTGGCTCTTTATATATCAAACAAACCATTTACCTGATTTTCAGAAGCACTGCCACCAACATCTAAAAAGTTGGCAGGTGTTCCTCCATGCAACTTAATTATATCCATTGTGGCCATAGCCAACCCAGCTCCATTGACCATGCAACCAATCTCTCCATCCAGACCAATATAGTTCAAATCAGCTTTGGCAGCAGCAACCTGCCAATCAAGTGGAATTTATGTCATACTGTTAGAAGCCCCCAAAACAATAGAAAAAACCAGCTAATCAGACAATATATATGCAGAAACAATAACTGGCTTTTCCATAGTAACAAAAGATATACGAGAAGAGTTGGTAGATGCATGGCAATAAACAGGACAACTGAACAACATAATGTAAAGACATATTTACAATTAAATTAAAAAAAATTTAAAAAAAAGTCTGCCCATCCCCCACTCAAAATAAGATAATCCAGAAACAGAATTGTGTCATTAGGATGGATAAGCACAAAACTGCAATCTAGCATGACACGCAAGACATAATGAAAGGTAGCAAACCAGTAACCCTAAAAAATACATGCTTCCCCCACAATCTATAGATCCAGTGTATAACTATAAGCATGATGGATACACCTCATTCGAAAATGAACATATTTCAAATCTTTTAAAAGCAGTTACAATAAGGTAAATTCAGAAAGATAAACAACTGCTGAAGTAGTTTAGTCTGTTCTCACAAAGGCAAGTAGCCGACTTCTAAAAAGCACATATCTGCATAAAAATAATGTGGAAAGGTCTTGCTATACAAGTGCAGACTGGAATAAACATAAAAGGAAGTACATCAACAAACAGCCCAGGAATAATTCAATTCTATATATTAAGCAAAATAGAAATTTCATGAGATACAGTCAACTGTAGCAGTTAATTTGAAACTTCCAACAGGCCATTTCATCTATGCAGCAGAAAGGACAGAGAATAAATCAATAAGTTATGCTGAATAGATAATAGCTAATGATTCCTGAAACAAACCTCGCGAGGATCCTCTTGTGATGTGTCGCGTAGAGCAAATATCTCTTTCTGACGAAATGCAGCATTGTCATCAAAATTGAGTTTAGCATCAGCAGCAACCAATTGGTTGTCAGAAGTCTCTGCAAGAGGATTGATCTGTCCAAGGAAAAAGAATAAGCATGTAGAGAATATAACCTAAGAATTACAAGCAGCTATATACAAAATGTATTTGTGCATACCTCCAGCATGGTGCAATCACATTCACAGAAAAGCTTATATAAGTTCTTCACTTGTTCAATGGAAGCCTGCTTATCAGCCGACTTGAGAGCAAGACCATCAACAACCTTAGCAGCATCTTCATCGGTAATACCTTTGAAAACATCAATAGGTACCTTAACCAAAAAAATTACATAATAATTACAAGTTTTGACACAAGAATAGCCATATAAAAATAAAAATAAAACAATTGTATCAGCACCTTGATGATCATGTCAGGATACTTTTCAGCAAGGTCTTCAATACTTGTTCCTCCTTTGCTGCAAGCAATTATAAGCTACAAATAGGTAACACAAGAAGGAAAAAAAATCAAAAGGATCCCAGTTAAAATTATACAAGGAGTATAACACAAGTGCTTTAAGACATTGTATGCAACAGTGTATAACTGTATATTCTAAGGAAATGAAGAGAGTTCAGGGACATACAGGACCAAGAGTAGTACGATCAAGCGTGATGGCAAAGTAAACTTCATTAGTCAGCGACATCTTTTCACACAAATAAAGCTGTTTATGCAGGAGGAGGTAAATTATGAGATCAAGTAATACAATTATCCAACTGTAGAGTACAGACCAGTAGGCTGTAGCATAACTACTACATCAGAAATTTTGAAAGCATGGATATAAAATAAACAGATAGATAAATTCTTCATAATACAGCTAATATTAGCACAAATGCAGAATAATCAACAGGAATGTTCATCAAAACACTCCATAGTTCTTGAAATGTTGTCAGCAGATAATGATATAATTCTTATAAAACATCCGTGCTAATAGACAAAAATCAGTTCATGATAATAACAAACTAAAAGAGTGAGATGGTTTCATTCAGGTGATGAAAGAAATGAAAAATTAGTTCATGACAGTAAAAAAACTATATGAAATGCTCGGTGAAGGACAATTCAGAGTCAGGATTGATAAAGTCATCCAAAATAAGAATGACTGAATAATCAAGATTTTGTAGAAATAAATCAAACTGTAAAAAATATGAACTGACTCCAAGACTCCATCATTGTTCAAAGAGCACAAAATTACTCCCTCTTTACATGCAATGAATTAGACACATATTTTAAACATATTATACCACCTGGGAGGACAAGTATACATTGGAAAATTAAATAATACTGAAGCCCACATATCTTTAAAGCACTCTAGTGACTCTACTTTGCTTAGAGTGTAACACTGTAACAACATTAATCTATAAATCGAGAGCATAGCACAGCTAATTTATATATCCCCTATCTTACAATATTAAATATATCAACATAACTAAGTACATATTATGTCCCTAGATTTTGTGTAGTGCCATGTGCCACACTCTAATTAAGGAAAAAACAGAGAAAACAACAAAGAATGCATTGCCTTCAAGTTTTAAAGTTATCAATCAATCCATAGCACAAATAAAAGAAGCACGTCCTTGTCAAAAACTGAGGATAATAAAATCGACAACCAAAGTACTACTTCCTCCGTCCCTTATTTTTTCCCCATAGGGGAGAAGTTACTTTTTTTATATTTTTGGTTGGGAAGAGTTGATGAGAGAGAAAAGTTGTGGGACCAAATGTAGTTGGTGTGAGACATATAACCATTTGTGGTATGGGGCAAACTTAAAGGAACAGACCATAAAGGTAACTAAGGCAAACATATAGGGATAGAGGAAGTGAATAAATGACATAGTTATAACCGAACAAAATTGTGCATAGTCATAAAATGAAAATCAGATGTAGAAGACAGATAACATAGGTGAGGAAGGGGGCAGGAGCAGGAAAAGAGCATAAAAATTCAAAGAATTAAATGTCTGAGTCTCTGAGAATCTGAGATAGTTTACTAAAAATGAAATTTCAACAACCATATTAGCTTCTCATATATCCAAGAACTCCTCAACCTATTCTAGAGACCAAGATGTAGATAAAACTTTACCTTGTTAACAGGTTTTCCCTGAGGCCCACTTTGTTTGGTGACCAATATCTGACCAAGCATCTTTCCTGGAAATAATTAGAGCATATGTAAAATATCAAAAATCAACAGAATCAATATTTGGAATTAAAGGCATAAGTAATTCCACGGATTTTCAAAAGATAAATTAAATGCCATATAGCCATCCAATAAGTAAAACTGCAGATAATCTTGGTTCCCAAAGATAAGAAACAGGGATGTTACCTACTCCAGCCAAACTTAAGTAAATGAAATCATGCATCGAGCTCAAGTAGCTCCTTCAAATATATAAATAAAATGACTCCATGCTCCAGCCATGACAAATAATAGATGTTTTAATAACCTATAGGTAGGCTTTAATATATTATATATAAAAGTATTACACAACTGGTCAATGCTATGAAATCATCCCAATCCCATAATCAAGGTATAAATGCAGTGTAGAATTCAACTGACATAAAGTTAACATAAGTAAATCACTTCTTCTATGTGTACATAAAGAAACAAATGAGATGCAAAAATGGCGATGTTCCAACAAACAACAAAATGCATACTAACAAGACAGAAGCACAAATAAGTAATTGGTCATGCAAATGAAAAATAAGGGGGTTAGTATGTGTACCAGCTATGTCTGCAGCTTGATCTGTCTTAACAATGTGAACTCCACCTTTTAACCCATTTTTAAATGTCCCTAATCCACGTCCACCAGCAAGAATTTGACTTTTAACAACCACCTTCACCAGAATAAAGGAAATCCATTTTATTATAAAATAATTGATATCAGGGTCTCACAACCAGAATGACGTGAGGGATAAAAAAAATTAACATAGAAATCAATCAACTAACAAAGTAACAGTTCAACATCCTAAACTTCCTCAGCCTCCAAATTATGGCAAGGTTGCAAGATACTACGTACATCACAAAAACAAGTAATTGTAATGTGCTTCAAGATTTTCTAGTATTTTACAAGTCCACCTACACAACAACATGCACCTATCTATGTCACGAACTGGAATTAGCTTAGGGATCAGGGAACGGTACGTAAGAAGAGGGAAAAGAAAGTGACCACAAAAAATATAAGTGAAATTGTGGAGGCATTTACAAAAAAATAGGAACAAACTGAATAATGAAACTACCCTTCACCCTGTCCACAGTAGAAGCCCGTTGAGATGTATTAAAGTAACGTTAATGTCTTTAACAAGATGACACTACTCAAAGCGAAGATAAGAGGTTGTAAACTTCAGCCTTGCACACAACATAAACAGATGGATCCCCAAGTAGCTCAATAGCAACCTCCACCCCCAAAACCAAAGTACTATTGCATAAACATATCCAAGCAAACAAACACAAAGCATACTGAAATCAACTCTCGACTAAAAGGCTATAAAAATCATAGAACTTACCTCATCCTGGCCTGCAAAAGATTCTTTGATGGCTTTTTGAACTTCGTCAACAGAAGATACGGCAACTCCTTTAGGAACATTGACACCATACTTGCTCATGAGCTCAGCACCCTGCATTCACAATCGCGCACGTACACAAACACACAAAGGAAATATATCATCATCATCATTGTTGTTCATAAATCGTTATCTACCCACATTCAGCACCAATAAAGCACACGGTTCAACTAAATTAGGTTTTTTCCTAGCTTATTTTGCTCAATTTGCTGAAACTACCCCCATTTTTTCCTTCATTTGCATTTAATCATCCAAAACAGGTATAGAAAAATCCTAAAAATTGCTAAAATATACACTTCGTATTACAATTACAAAATACAAAGAAATAACATCCCAAAATACAAATCAACATCAGCCATTGAAGTACACAAACTCAAAATTCAACATTCAAACTACGCAATATTTTTAATATCTTCAATTACATTTATACATCCAAAACAGGTATGAAAACTCTTGAAAATTACAAAAATGTAATTCACAAAACAAAATTAAAATCAACAAATACCTAATAACACTGATTAAAATCATTACAAATCCAAATTAAAATTACAAATGGTTGACGAACAAAGCGACTTACCTGATATTCGTGGATGTTGAGACGGCGGAGCTGCTGCTGCTGCTGCGGCCATTTTCCGGCGAAGGAGAGAGATTTAGAAAGGAGGTTTTTGAGCGATCCTCTAACCATTTTTGATAGATCGACGGCGATCTCACGAAGGAAGGAGAGAGAAAGGTGAGAGAAGTCCAACAGGTGTAGTACGAAGAAGAATGAAATTTTTTGGGACCCTAGTTTAGTTTCCCTTACTACGGACTTTTAGGAATGGGTTTCATAATTTGATTAGATTAGTCCGAGCTCTAAAATTTTTAGCCATTTTCTCATTTTGTAATGACAGAAATAGGGTAAATTTTACCCATATATTGTCTAATTTGATAAGGTATAGTCTATGAGATTATGACTGTGTTATACTCCCTTCATTTTATAGTAATCGCAACATTTTGACTGATACATATGATGATGCAAAACTGTGACCAATAATATTTGTAACTATATTACTAAAAAGTATAAAGCTTGATTTAATGCAAATATGCATAAAGACTAAACCAAAAATATTTTATATGACAACTTATGATTTTATACATTGATTTAAAGTATACTAAAAGTAAACATATAAATAGTGCAAAAATTGTTGCAATTATTATGAAACGAAGGGAGTAAAGTGTTATTCATGTTTAGAATGAAGTAAAGTCCACTATATACCTTTATATCAGAGTAATGTGGTGTGGAACTAACTTATGTTATTGGTATGCATAAGAAAACTACCAATTTGCCTTTGTGCACTATGCAAAGCTGAAACAAGCTCGATGGAAATAATTTTGTAAAAGGTTAGATAAGATCATGTTTGAATCAACATGATCAAATTGTTAATGTTTGAATAGGGATTGGGTAATAAGGAGTATACTATATTCAATATTTAATTTATCAAAATGGAATGATTTACATGAACGTAACTTTGTAATTTTGTGATATATAGATAATTAGATAGGCAAGATAACTCTGTTAAAATTTAAAATATAAATGTATATATGTTGAAAACAACACGCACGGACTTGCTGACATTGGGCCGGGGTAGCTTGTTCTTGCTTGCATCTGTTAGCTTCAGCACGGATGTGCTCAATGTGGGTATGTGGCACATCATGCTACCTTTCTCCTTGGCTTCTTTCCTTCATTGTTTCTTCTCCTTTACTTCATTCTTTCTTTTTATTAGCTTCTTTCATTCTATAGCTCCAAGGAATGTCTTTAAACTTCAACATACACTTAAAACCATAAAGAGTCCCGTTATCGATACAGAGGTAATAAAGATCTAAGAAATCGATTCTCGCAAAATCAAGGATTGAGATACACTCTAAAATCAAGTTGTGATTATAAGAAGTATTACAAATCGGGTCGTTCTTCAACATACTTGTTATTTTATATACGAGGAGGCGAGGACTTTTTTTTTTTTTTTTTGATAAAAATGGACAGGACTAGGCAGTTTGGTCCATAAAAATGATACATATGGCATGATGCTGGGAGCTGAGGCCCAAGTTATTTAGACAAAGACTTGTTCCCAACATTTTTGGCTTGTTGAATGATGTTGTTTACTAGGGCCATACACTCATACTCCGTTACTCTGAAGTTACCTCTTGACAGTTGACACTTGTATCCAAAATTTTCTCCGGTTGTTACTTGTTGCATTACTCGCATATGGACATGTCATATAATTCACTTCTATTTTTCTTAGAGTTGTAATACGTTGAATAGCCATATTGTGTAATCCTTGTATTAAAAATCTTTTCATTATATAACAAACACTATATATATATATATATATATATATATATATATATATATATATATGTATATATACACTTATTATATTGACTTTGAAGTGTATGAACGCTACAAAGTGCAAATATAATATTTGTCTAGTTAAATTTTCATTTATTTTATGGCTCATACTCATATAATTTGATAATTGATACGATAGCAACTAAACAAGTTGGTAAATATATATAGAACCCCAATAGTGAATTATGAGATTTATTTGTGAGGTTATTAAATAAATTTCTCTTGCATAAAATTACTTATTATATGTAAAAGCATTTCAAAATTTGTTATATTCAGAAAACTCATATATAGCTACTTGAAAGAGGAACAATGACATATCGATATTATGGTGTAATAATTTGAAAGCGAGTGACCATTGATATACTAGTATAAAGGAACTTCAATCATGTGATGCTCTTAAAACTCCACAACAATTTAACATAATTATAATGCTCGAATGCTCAATCAATCATACATCAAAAGAAAAAAGTTAAACCCTAGGCTAGAAAAAGGCTAACAATATTACCTTGGCAATTCAATCATACACCCCTTGTCCCTTGACATTTAATTTGTAGATTCTCTCACGTGAATAATAATACAAATTAACCCATAGAAATATAGAATAGTCATTTAGTACCTTACTAGCTACCTTTCTCGATATATGAAACTTGTTCCATTATGCTTTACTCATGTACACCATACGTACTACACGGAGTACTACATACCTTCTTATTGTATCCTTTTTTTTTTTCTTTTTCTTTTTTTTTTTTTTTTTAATATCCTCACACTTATTATTCATGTGGACATACTAATAAAAATTTGACTAAGTGATTTATGTATAAAATTATACTCATACTTTGTAAATTATTTTATGTAATATTATGCATCAAATGTGTGATTTTATTGAATTCGTATCAAAATATGCTCCGATTTTTATATTTTTTTTATATATGATTATCAACTAATCTGATCATAGGTAAATTTCGATCCAATCCTTTCACATACTACACGTTAAACATTATATATAAATAATTAAAGATACAAATTGTCAAGTAGTGTTAGAAACCATCATAACACTAGCGTAAAATATAACATGAACTTTATTCACCAAAACTTTTATCACTTAAAAAGACATAAATGAAAAAAAAAAAAAAAAAAAAGAACTAATAAGCAGGACATTGGAATCCAGGAGGAGGAGTCTTGCCACAATCAACCAAAACTTGAAGAGCAATAGGAAGAATAATGTTAATATTCAAAAGCTTAGCCCTAATTGTGGTGCAAAGACAAACTGCAGCATCTAAACCAACTAGACCACCTAACACAGGACAACATGCATCCTTAGCACCACTTCCTATGCCAATGTGTATTAGTCCTCCTAGCACGTCAACACATGCATTCAACTTAAGGGAGTCAATGGAGCATGTTGGTTGTTTCGAAGGCGGTGGTGGGCATGGTGTTTCCGGTGATGGTACCGGGGTTGTTGGTGGAGTTGGGCTTACACTTGGGGGTGTTGGTGTGTATGGTGGGGTTACTACTGGGGGTGTTGGTGTTGGTGTGTATGGTGGGCTCACACTTGGAGGTGTTGGTGTGTATGGTGGGCTCACACTGGGTGGTGTTGGTGTATAAGGTGGGCTCACACTTGGTGGTGTTGGTGTGTAAGGTGGGCTCACACTTGGTGGTTTTGGTGTGTATGGTGGGCTCACACTTGGTGGTTTTGGTGTGAATGGTGGGCTCACACTTGGTGGTTTTGGTGTGTATGGTGGGCTCACACTTGGCGGTTTAGGTGTGTAGGGTGGGCTATATGGTGGGCTCGGTTTTGGTGTGTATGGTGGGCTCACAACCGGGGGTTTAGGGGTATAGGGTGGGCTCGGTTTTGGTGTGTATGGTGGGCTCACAATGGGGGGTTTAGGAGTGTAAGGTGGGCTGTATGGAGGGCTTACAACGGGTGGTTTCGGGTAATGCGGTGGGCTAACCGGAGGTTTAGGTGTGTAAGGTGGGGTCACAACAGGAGGTTTAGGGGTGTGAGGTGGTTTAGGAGTGTAAGGTGGGGTTACAACAGGAGGTTTAGGGGTATGATGAGGTGGTTTAGGAGTGTAAGGAGGAGACTTGGGAGGTGAACCTGTAGGGGGTTTAGGTGTGTAAGGTGGTTTGTAAGGATGGTGAGGTGGTTTCGAGGAAGGCGGCTTAGGTGGTTTGTAGGGATGATGAGGTGGTTTGTAAGGATGGTGAGGTGGTTTATGGGGTGGTTGTTGATGAGGTGGTTTGTAAGGATGGTGAGGTGGTTGTTGATGAGGTGGTTTGTGAGGATAGCTCGGCGGCTTTCCGGAGGGAGAATGAGGTGGTTTATGGGGTTGATCATGATGAGGAGGTTTATGAGGGTAGCTCGGCGGCTTTCCGGAGGGCGAATGAGGCGGCTTCGAGTGTGGTGGATGCTCAGGAGGGGGACAAGCTGGCTTGGGTGGCTTAGGAGGTGGTTGATATGGGCAATAAGGGCATGCTAAAGTAGTGAAAAATGTACCAAAATTAAAAAGAAGGAAAAGAGTAAGTAATGAAAATGCTCCCATATTTGAGAGCTTAAGAATGACCAATGAGTGATAAGAGTGAGAATAAGAGTGGCCTTCTTATAGGAAAATCCAACGTGAAATTGAGTCACAAGATGAATGAATGAGGGGGTGAGGTATAGCTGTAACTCTGTAAGTACAAAAGTTTGTTACCTATTTAAAGAAATAATAAGTAATAGAAATTTAACGTTAGTTTACTCCAACTTTCTATCTTTGCTTAAAATGATATGCAATGGTGTGTAATGTACTTTGTAAGAATTTGTTTAGTTATCATCAACACTTCTTCTATCATTACACTACCAAGAATAACATAAGATATTGTTTACTACGGGTTGTTAAAATAAAGTTGAAAGGGTTGCTAATATTTGAACTTTACACTAATCCCATGAAACTACATTTCATCCATCTTATGATATTACATTGGTTTGTATTATGTAACTTTTACATACATTAGAGTATTGAGTATTATTGCATATACTACTTTTGCGTCTAAAACTTATTTTATAATTTGTTTTATAGTTTTATACTTGTATGGTTAGATATTTTACAAGCTAAAGAGATCTAATTCTATAGGAGGTTTACAAGATGAGGAGTTTTTTACTTATTAGAACATGGTATCCATGCAAAAATAACGTTTGGTAGATATGAGAAGTGGAACATTTCACCAAAAGTTTTACTGGCTAGGGATCTATGTAAGTAACTTGCTCCATATTATAAGAAATAAAACTTTTTAGCAAGTTTTACAACTTTTACCTCTTATATTTTTACCTAATAGTTAATTTCACTTTCTTACAAATTCCTTGAAATCTTTTTACTTTTCAAAATATTTGATATCAATCAAACAATCACTTCATCTGTAAGAATGGAACCCATTATTAGCGCCAAGCAAAATGTCGCCCTAATTTTAACAAATGGTTAGAGTTTTCTTAGTTTAATTTGAGATGTACAAGTTAGAAGCAAATGCCCTTTTGATAGCCCCTTGTCTTGCCGTCGTTGGATTTATATGGAAAAATGATATACATTTTCGCTTTGTCGATTTTGTTGACTAGGGATTAGTAAGACGGGCAACAACTTGGATAATTTTTGGATTTTTTTTAATAATGGGGTACTCTTGTTTCACCAAGTCAAGACTAATTATTTTATAATTAACCTATTCCATCTCAATTTACTTGTTCCCTAATCATTTACAACTTTTATACTGATAAGAAAAAAATTAATGTATAGATAAGAAAAAATAAAAGGGTTATAAGACCTAACTTGAGTATAAGTTTCTGTAAAAAGAAAATATAACAAGTAAATTAACACATTTAAAAAAGAAAAACAGGGTCCGTTCTTTGTGGCTCTCTAAATATCAAAAAAAAAAAAAAAAAAAAAAAAAAAATTGAGACGAAAAGAGTATATTAGTGAAAGGTTTTCAATAATTGAGATATGAACATTAGCAAGTAGTGCCTTTAATAATTTAATGGCATAAAAAAAAGACAAGAACAATAGAGTCCGTGACTTAGCATATACTGTAGTCTTAAAGCCATGTGAAGCCACACCAATGCACACAAATATCCATGCAAATATGTAAATTGAACAAAATAATAGTCACTTGACTTTCCTATAATTTTAGTGGTTGTTAGCTAAGGGGAGGTTGGATCCCTTCTTTTTTTTTTTTTTTTTTTTGTGTACTTGGATAATGTGGAAAATCTATATTCATCTGATCTTATATCTCATTATATTGTTTTCCTCAAAAGAAAAAAAAAAAAAAAATCTCATTATATTGTTTATATTGTACGAAGTATTAATAATAATCTCAATAGAAGTGAATTCAGAAAAGGGTTTATGCATAGTAGTTGTACACTTGATTGCCGTCCAAAGAGAATTTAGACAAGGGTTTATGACTTTATGTATATATATAGTTCGTTGTACACTTGACATGCTTGGCGAATTGTCAATTTGCCGGATGATTGATAATAAATAGAGATAATGGTAGTGAATTGACGCTTTATTCTATGTAATTTAAGAATATTATTTATAAAATATTTTTAAATTTAGAATTTGTTATATTTAGTACCATAGGAAAGAACTCAATTTTAGATGTTCATGAGCTAAAACACAACTATCTTTACATTCAATTAACTATATATATAGTAAAGATTTGCACAATACTACTTATTAGGTTCTTAAGATATTAGCTATGATTTCTTGTAAAAATATCATAATTAATAGCATAAAAATGTATTCTTAGATTATTGTAATTATCAAACTCAAACTTAATTTTAAGCACAATTGATTTCGAAAATTTGAGCTCGGAAAGCTCAATCCTCCACTCTAGCCAGCTCGGATGTTAGTTAGCCACTTAGCTTAGCCGAGCAACACTAAATAAAGCTTGGTTCATTAGCCACCGTATCATACTCTCTTAGTCTCTTAATAGTTCATATTTTACTTTTTATGGTAAAATTTTAAGTATCTAACCATATAAATTTAAATGTAACATACTCAATAATAATGAAAAACATGCATGTATCATCATTTATGGATTACAAAACATCCAATATTCTTTGCATGTAATAAATATAGTACATTATAATAATTAAAAATTAAACAATACTCCATAATAATTGAGCAAAACAACTCATGTTACTCATCTCATCGAAAATGGTACGAAAATATGAAAATGAAAGTCGACAACTTAATAAGGTCACGTCTTAATTAAAAAGTCTTTCAATCGATTATTCTCCAGTAGATTATGCATGTGTGAATATTAATGAATTTTCTAAAAATTGAAGTAAAATTGATACAAGACAAAACCTTGATATTTGTTCGCCCTTTTCTATTGACAATTGGAGCCTTGCTTTGCATAAAAAAACAATTGGAGCCTTGCCTCATCTTCTAGGTAGGTGTTGTTGATTGTTGAATAATAATATAGATTGTCTCCATTTTCATAAATCCAAGATTCTTTTATATACTTTTTTTCCTTATAATTAAAAAAATTCGCCATTATCAATATAATTGGACCATCCTGTGTTCTATTTTCATTTGTAAATGTAGCTATAACTCTTGAAGTACATATGCTTGACTTTTTGCGTTTGGATTAATCGTGAATGTCTCCTTAGCAAAACTTGATAAAAACACTTGGTCTGACGATTGATTATACCTCTCATATTACCTTCTAGTACTAGAATCGACAATATATGATCCGATTTGATAATCTGATTAAAGTAATTAAGAGAAATCCAAACATATACTCAATCTAACATGAAATCAAAGAAATAGAATTTTATTTGAATTGACCCATTTATTTTGTATCATTTAATCTATTATTATTGTATTTATCATGTACAAATACTTCCATCACTCGCTTAAAGGACGACCGTAAACTTACAAAATAATAATTTAAACTTTATATCGTCACACAAAACTAAACTCAAGTGCTACCAAAATACTTTGTAATAAAAATACTTAGAGTATATATGAAAGTATCGGACCTTGTCATCAACTATTGATCAGTTATATATGAAATGACATGCATTAAAACCTGCAGAGAACATTATTTCACAAATTAAAACTCAAAACACAAAATTTATAATTTCATGTATAACATAATTTTAATTTAAGAATGAATTTGAGATATTTACTTGGATCGACAGTAATTAGCATAGCGGTGCCACCAAAATCACAAGTGCCACCAGCAATCTTAACCCTTTGCCAATAACTATTAAAAGCATATGAAGCATGGGCCACCAAATTGTTGGGCACAAAGCAAGGCCCATTGGGCTGAACTGACCCACAGTCAGCCCCATTTCCACAAGCATAGTCCATGGCCCTTTGGAGCATGGTCTCAGGCACTGTGGGCCTAGCAACACACCAAACCGCGTATTCATGGCCCGGTTGGCCCCAACCATGTCTTGGAGGTCCAGCAGGCTGTAATGAGAGCTGAGAAGGCCCAGGGTGAAGCACGACCGGACCGCCGGGAGTTGGGCTGGCATCGCTAACAGGCGGTCCTGACATCGGAGGAGCTGCATATGGGCTTGGACTAGGGGAGTTGTCTGGTGGGTTGGATATTAAATTTGAGGGAGTTGGAGCTAAGGGTGAAGGTGCTAACCATGAATCATTATCATATGCATCAAGTGTTGGGAGGTCAAATGTATCAGACTCTGGATTTTGAAAGTATGAAAATTTCAATCCTGCCATTAACTTAAATCTCTCCAGGGATCTTCCGGCATCTACAATCAATTCATCAAAATTCACAAAAAGTTAGTTACAATTTACAAAAGTCATGCCACCTCTTAGATAGTTCAGGTTAACCACGTCATCTGCTGTTTCAAGATATAATAATATATTGACATTCTTACCAACGTAATAATTGTATCATTTTACGTAGGAAAGGCATGATACACTTATGCAAGGTACTCGTAGCAATTAATCAAAAACGAAAAATTCAATGTATGCAATAAGAATCATACCGCAAATGTTGAAGAGAGAAAATACGAATATGGACACAAGTACGATGATAAAATCGAGACGAGTTGGACGTGCTCTGAAAAAGACCGCCATTGTTTTTAAAATCTACTTAAGGAGAGTAAGGCAAATAGGCAATGGATTAGAAGACCAAGGCACTCCTTATAGAGAAAATTAAATTACTGTAATGGAGAATATAATATGTGCAAATCCTCTAGCATGGTGATTGGAATATGTGCTTGCTTGAAATGGGAGAACTTACATCTAAATTATACTAGTATTCAAATTGCCATTTTTCATTGATTCATGTATTGCTTGCATTTCACTCAATATAGGGGCATTTTTACCTTTTTCTTTTGCCTTTTCTTGTACATTAAACACATAAATAATCTCCTCTAAAGTAGTATGGTACAATATAGAACAAGGCCATGTTCGGTAGATGGCTTTTCGGTGGCTTTTTAGTTAGCTTTTGGCTTTTGGCTTTTTTATGTGGTCAAATAGCCAAAAAAAAGTGTTTGGTAATTGGCTTTTTATTCAGCGAAAAAGCTGATTTTGCCAAATTGAAAAAGCTGCTATGAGTATCTTTTTTTGTTGGCCCACAATTTATCTAATAAACAGCCAACAGCTAAATTTACCAAACACTTTTAAAAACAGTCAACTTAAATAGCCAATTTCAAAAGCCATTATAAACAACCAAACATTCCAGCTGGTCAAACAAGCCAAGTGAATCAGCCAACCGCCAATCGCCAATCGCCAACTGCCAACCGCCAACAACCATTTGCCAAACAAGGCCTAAATCTCTTTAAAAAAAAAAAAAAAGAGAATAAATCTCATTTGGAATATTTTGGTATTGTTTGTGAGTTATGCCTTCAGTTGGCGTGACTCTTCATGAGTGTGCAGTGTGCTATGCAATTTACTTCGTATAACTGTATATATTGAATGGATTTGATTTTTTTTTTTTAAAAAATACTTGTACTTCATTACAAATCATTTATTCCGAATATCATTATAATAACTTTAATTATCATTTAAAAAATCAAAAAAAAAAATTGATTTCTGTACTAGATTTCGTAATGACTTTAATAAATTCATATAATTAATTCTTTTCATATATTTACTCAACAAAATACTGTATGATCAATGAGAATGTGTGAATGGTGTAAAATTTCAAATGATGTAATTATATAATGTCTAAAGAAGTATATTGTAATGAACAACAATTTGAATTTATCGTATTGCAAATGAAATTCATAATATTATGAAAGCAACTTTACTTCCAAATTAAATTCCCTTTACACACTATAAAACGATCCAATCTAGTCTAAACTCGAGCAAAACCGATCCGATTTGATGCGGGCCAATGCACAACCCTACTTGGGAGTTGGGACTATTGGAAAATGAGGGTCTGAGATGCAAGTACAAATGTACTAGAATTTAGATTATGAACTCACTGCCTTTTTAAAAATTTTAACTGCTCAAATTTGGCGTGATTCTAACGGTAACCTTTTCTCACAAGTCCCCTGTTTCATCCCTCAACAACCAACTTCTCACTTCATCTTCAACCCCAATCAATTCAACGGCTATCAAAAATCAAAAAGCAGAAAAAGAGACACCCTCAAAAAATTTAAAATTAAACCCCCAAAAAAGCAAAAAGAATTCATGGAAAAAGAAATAAAAGAACCCGAATTCAAAGAAAAAGAAGCAATAGTAATTCAATACTTAGATACTTCAATGTCTAACAATCTTCTTAGCAAATACCCTGATTATTCCGGTTTTGGTTTCGACTACTCGCAAAGCTCGATTTGGTCCCCATTAGTCCCTCGTTTTACTTCTATTTCGTGTTTGAACCCCAAGTCTCCTGATTTGAATAGAAGGCTTTCTTTTGAGAAAATTTCATTGTCAAGTAGTATTAAGAAGAAGGTTTGTACTTTTGGGTTGAATTTAAATGCTAAAATTCAGAAGAATAAGAAGAAGAAGAAGATGTTGAAGTGTAACAATGATTCTTCTGAGTTTCAGTCTCCTCCTTCCAAAAAGGTAAGACCTTTAATTTCGCGCTTAAGTTTTTTCGGGTGGTATTGGAAGTCGCAAAGGTAGTGATGTAGACGGGATTTGACCTTTAATGGTCTAAGACTCTAAGTTAGTCGAGTAAAAAAACACGGGAGGAGAGTGTTAATTACTGAATTAGAGTTAACTTGTTATGTTTGGATGCAGGGTTGGAAGAAGGTGTTGAAGATGACCTCTAAACAGTTCAAGAGAAAGAAGGATAATCATCATCGTCATCCCATTTCTCGGGTCACCCTTTCTGATTTTTTGCAGTCTCAGAATTTCTAGGTTTTTTTGTTTTAGCGCCTCAGCGGTATGAATTACTATTCGGTCATACTTGTTAGTATCATTATTTTGTATCAAGTTCAAATTCTTTATGCAAAAAAAAAAAAAAAAAAAAAAAAAAGAACATATTGGGAGATGCTTGGGAGTTCCGTAGTAGGATTATTGTCTCCCGGTTGACAGGTTTGTCAGTTCGAGTCCTGAATGATCTACGCATCTCCCTTCATTTCAATTATAATGTAATACGGAGTATTGGTATCAATCCAATTAATGCTACGCTCATTTAGTCATTTCTCCTAATGCAATATGGGTATTGATCCAACTTATTGCAAATATAGGGTGTCACCATGGCACTAATTTTTGTGTATAAGCCAAAATCAAGCTATTTCAGTATGAACTTTGAAGGTGGTTGTAGGCTTGTAGCATCTTACAAAGTCATAATCAAAACCACCTCCTGATAGCGTGATAGTTCTAAGTTCTAACATTGGGGTGGTATTGAGTACACCCCCTCCTCCTTGAAACAGAAAAGGATAAAATGCTAAACACGCTGCTGGCCCGCTGTACCTCTCAGTTGACTCGTAACAATCCAATGATGGTGAACATGGTTCTTATACAATAGGTGGCAGATGAGTCGTGAACTTGTGATAGACTGCTTAGGGATTAGGATGAACATGGTTCTTATACAATAGCACAACTCCATCCTCCCGAGAACTCTATAATCAGTTCCCTCAGCCAAAGTTTTCTCAAAGAAGATCCCATAAGATGAGTTGACTTAGACCTAACTCCTAATAACTCCTGCTTTATCAGCCCAGTTGTAGAGCTATATGACTATATCCATTTACAGACTTGCCATATAACAATCTCCCGACTGCCTGCCTAACATAGACACCAGGAAACATTAAGGACCTCTAATAGTTCTACACTGCAACGTTCCAAACTCCCAATGTCCTGTAATGATAAATATCAGTAAATGTTGTTAAGAATGACAAAAACAGAAGATTTCATTTAGTATAAGTTTTCATCCATTTCATAATCCAATGTTTCTTTCACCTTTTTTTTTTTTTTTTTAATTTTTTTTTGGATGATAGATGTGAACTACGTGGCAACAGGGTTTGATTCATCCTTTAATATAGTTATATTATGAAATAAGCGATAACCATACATCCTTGTGAGTGTGAGGAGGGACATAGAGTTTTATTCATCCACCAAGAAAAAATAGTTTCACACTTCAAATTGCCAAAATAAATATAAGGGCAAATGGAACAGAAGAGAGGTATTTGTATTCATGTTGTGACAAACCTCAAAAGTAAGGCTGTAAAGCCATTCTGTTTCAGACTTCAAATAAAACCTTGAGGCAACTCCAGAACCCCTCAGCCTCAGCTACGACATCTAGCTTCCACCTCATTGCGCAAGCTTACAGCCAAATCTTCATTTCCATTTTGGCAAAGCCCATTGCACAACTCAGAGAGAATTTCAGGACCAGGAACCATACTTCTCCCTAGCATTTCCCTCAGAACCTGAACTGCTCCATCAAAATCACGATTCTGACAGAAAGAAGAGATCAAAATCTCATATGTATTACTCGTTGGATAACAACCATTTCTTATCATACTCTTGTACAATTGAAATGCACGTTCAGAATTCTTTCTCGTGCACTGCCCTAAAATAAGAGCAGAATAGGTTGAGGAATTTGGGGCTAAATTCTGCTTGTCAAGTTCGTTAACCATAATGGCTGCTTTCTTAGTCTTGCCCTCCTTGCAGAATCCCAATACCAAAGCATTATACGTCACCATATCAACCTTCACCCCATCTTTCAGCATCTCTTCATAAAGTTCATATCCCATCTCACTATTACCCCACTGGCTATATCCATTTATTAAAGTATTGTAAGTTACAGTATTTGGAGGCACACGTGCCGCTTTCATCTCACTAAAAACCTTGTTCGCGTCATGCAATTTCCCTTGCTTACAAAATCCATTGATGAGGGTGTTATAAGTGACACTATCCGGCTTTAATCCGTTCTTTTCCATCAAGGCTTTTAGCTTCACGGCAGAGGTGAAGAGGCCCTTATTGCAATACCCAGAAATAAGTATATTATGTGATGCTACAGTAGGAAAGTTACCCATACTTGCCATATCCTGAAACACCTCCAAGGCCTTTTCCAAACTACCAAGCTTACAATGAGCATAAATAACCATGTTCATAGTATAAACATTTGGCATAATTCCATTTTTCCGAATCTCCTTATAAAAAGCCAATGCAATTTTTTCCTGATTCAAACTATGCAACGAACTCATGTAAGCATTACAAGACTCTATTGTAGGAAGAAACCCATAATCCTTCATGTGGCAAAAGGTCGCGGTAGCATTCCTAAACTTCTTCATATGGGCATGAGTCTTAAAAAGCGAGTCAAACACAAGAGGAGACGAATCACACAATCGATACGAGTACAATATAGCCTCAAACAACTTATGTGGCAAATCAATAGACAGCGAACTCAGTATATCCTTCATAATCGATTGAGAAGATTTAAATTTCCGGTGTTTGGTCAAAACATGGAGAATCATGGAATGAGTTTCAAGGTTGTGAAACTTAGGGTTTTTGAGCTGAACCCATTTATAAAACTCATAAGAAAGAACATAATCCTTCTTAATCTTCAATAATACATGCTTAAATCTAAATGGGGTAAAACCACTTGATAATTTCTCCAATTTTTCCCAATCAGAGTGTATAAGATGGCTATGTGCTACATTCACAAAATCAAGGTCTTGACCTTTTGGTTCAGGAATTGTTCCATGTGGAATTGGAATTACATTCCATTTATTTCTTGCTAAATTACCCAGAATTGAGGAATTGCTCAAACCAGAAACTTTCATTGCAAAGTTTGAGAATCAAGCAAATTTAATAAAAGGGTGTTCTTAATTTAAACTGTTTTAAGGTTTAACCTTGTGTTTGAATGATAATATACAGAGAAATACTTGAAAGCAGGTGAAATGAGCAAAACCTAAAATCAACAAGAAACGAAATTGGAAAGAAAGTTTTGCCCTTTTATTGATTTGAAACTGACCTGATCATGGAAACTCAGAGCTTGTTTGCATTCTTGTTTAATAGCTCCTGCAAGTCAGAAATGATGAGGTGCGGCCGAGCGGGGGGAAGGAAAGGTTAACGTTTTCCCTCAATAATGCTCTAATTTGTAGAATTGTAGCAATTCCAAAAATACAGCTCCTCTTATATAATTTCCCAAATTACCGTCCACATCATCATCTAAATCATAAAATCGCTTTTTTTATTTTTTTACAGTTCAGTACAAAACCGCCACTTGAATCAACGGTTTCCAATCAAGAGAAAACCGCTAATTGAGGTGGCGGTTTTCCATTTTATTTAAATAAAAAAAAAAAAAAAACTAATTGAGTAAGGGTGAATACCGTGAATTGAGAAGATCAAGGCAAGGTTGATAATACTCAAAGTCCAAATCAATTTAACAAAAATCAGATCTTAATTTAGTTACATCTGAATTACATACTTTCCCAAAAAAAAAAAAAAAAAATGTGAATTACATAATTTCATAGTTGACACGAAGTTAAATTAACCCAGTGGCGAAAAAATTGTGACGAAAAGGTAGCAGAGATGGTGGTGATGGTGGCCGTCGTGGTGGTGGTGATGGCAGAAGCTCGATGACGACGTGATTTATAATCCCAAACAATATGAATCAAAAAAATCAGACTCCCAAACTTAATTCAACCATCCCCAAATTGAATAAGAAATCCACCCACCATAACTTTTACTCTAAAGCTTGATGGGAAATGAATAATGAATTTAGAAGAATGAATGAGAGGAATTTGATTCTAAAGCTTGAGTGTGAATTAACAATGGAGAAAGGGGGCTTTGGTTTGAACGACAATACCAAGGAAAAGAAGAGAGAGAAAGCTAAGCAAGTCAGCTTTTTTTTTTTTTTTTTTTTTTTTATATGTTTTATTTCCTGGTAAACCGCTACTTCAAAAAAATGACTGCTAGATTGAGAGTGTGGGCCTCAAGGCACCTTTCTTATGCTGGTTTTGCCAAAAAAATAAAAAATAAAATAAATAATGACGTGGACGATAAATTGAGAATTTATAAAAAAAAGTAACCGTAATTACGGAATTGCAGCTCTTTCCAATATTATGTAGGGAGCATTTGTTTTTACGGTAGGCTTAAACCCTTTTGTTGGAGGTTGTAAATGAGTCGTTCAAACATGTTAGATAGAGTCATATTAAAGGGTCGTATAATTTGGAGTCAAAATAGCAAGTGTTAGTGAAACTCGGTTGAAATTGGGTAATATAGATTCAATAATCAAGTGTCAACCAATTTTGACATGTTTACTTTTAGTCGTTTACTTGATCACATTATTTCAAAGTTTTCAACTAGTTAAAGCAAAATTAAAATCTCTAATCTCAACAAAATCAAACTCGGGTTGGTATAGGACAGGTCAATTTTGATAAGGTTAAGTTCAACAAGTGATGTTACGAAGTATTTCCAATTTTAAGCTAGTTAAAAGCGAGCTTTGGAGCCTTGGAGGCTTGGAGCTTGTCAGTTCCTAGCTCAACAAACTCAAGCTTCGGGTCATGTTTTTGTAATCGAGTTAAGCACTTAAGCTGCCCGAGTTCGAGTTTGGCTTGGCTCCCATCACTTCCTTCATTATTCTTCAAAAAAATTTAGGGTCCCAAATTAACCAGAATTGGAATTTGGAAGGATATATTTTATACTTAGTGCCAGACTGCCAGCTACTCACTCAATCCACAATCCTACACCACTCTACTGGCTAAGGCTCACAAGCTAAGAAGACACCATAACAATCAATGGAGTAAGCAAATTTCTAACCCAGAAAAATTTCAACCCAGAAACAAAAACCAGACCTCAAAACTTCGTCTCCCATGTCAACTTCATCCCTACCACTTCCCTTACCACTCCCACCCAATAATCTCTCACCTCACAGGCAACTCTCCAATTCACAATTCTCTCTCTTAGACCCACTTCTCCCTTCCCTTGATGAACCCCAAAAAGCCCTTAAAACCCCAACAATTCGTACCCGTTTAAGCCAACTTTGTAGAGATGGTCAACCCCATATTGCCCGCCAAGTGTTCGACGCATTGCCTAAACCAACTACTGTTGTTTGGAACACTATAATTATTGGGTTTATTTGTAACAATCTTCCCTTTGATGCTCTTTTGTTTTACTCTCGAATGCGGTCTAATTCTTCTACTAAATGTGATTCTTATACATATTCTTCTGTTCTGAAGGCTTGTGCTGATACCCGGAATTTGAGGGTTGGTAAGGCTGTTCATTGTCATGTAATAAGGTCTCATATTCATGCTAGTAGAATTGTGTATAATTCTTTGTTGAATATGTACTCTACTTGTCTTGCTAGTACTGTTGTTTCGCAATATAGAGAGGTTGATCCTGTTCGTAGAGTGTTTAAAACTATGAAGAAGAAAAATGTTGTTGCTTGGAATACATTGATTTCTTGGTTTGTGAAAACTGAGAGGTTTGATGAGGCTGTTAGGTATTTTAGGTTGATGCTGATCATGGGTATTAAACCTACCCCTGTTAGCTTTGTTAATGTGTTCCCGGCTGTTTCGGGTGTTTGTGATTACAGGCTTGCCAATGTTTTATATGGGATGCTTGTCAAGTTTGGTGGTGAATATGTTGATGACTTGTATGCTGTCAGCTCAGCAATTGTTATGTTCTCAGATATTGGTTGTCTTGATATAGCAAGGAAGATGTTTGATGGGTGTTTGAACAAGAATGTTGAGGTTTGGAATAGCATGATTGGTGGGTATCTGCAGAACAACTGTTACATTGAGGCACTTGATCTTTTCGTCGAGGCTCTTAGTTCGGAGCATGTTTCACTTGATAATGTTAGTTATATTTCAGCTTTAAACACTGTCTCACAAATGCAGCAAATGAATATCGGTCAGCAGCTGCATGCTCTAGTTTTGAAGAATCCGACAACTTTGTCTGTCACTGTACTAAATGCGGTTATTGTTATGTACTCGAGGTGTAATTATATTCACGAAGCCTTTAAGGTTTTTGAAGGGATGGTTGAAAGAGATGCTGTTTCATGGAATACTATGATTACTGCTCTTGTGCAGAATGGACTGGATGATGAAGGACTGATGCTTGTTTATGAGATGCAGAATCAGGGGTTTGTCGTTGATGCAGTAACAGTTATAGCTATACTCTCAGCTGCGTCAAATCTCAGAAGTGAGTTCATCGGGAAGCAAACTCATGCTTATCTAATAAGGAAAGGGATAGAGTTTCAGGGCATGGACAGCTATCTAATAGATATGTATGCTAAATCTGGTTTGATAGAGAAGGCACAACTGCTATTCGAAAAAAGTGATGAGCTAAGTAGAGACCAAGCAACATGGAATTCCATGGTATCTAGTAACACACAGAATGGGCTTATTGAAGAGGCTTTTGCTGTATTTCGCCAGATGCTTAAAAGAAATGTGCTTCCAAATGCTGTTACCATGGCATCAATTCTTCCAGCTTGCAGTCAAATTGGGAGTATTGCATTGGGTAAGCAGATCCATGCCTTTGCTACCCGCCACACCCTAGACCAAAATGTGTTTGTTGGCACTGCTTTAGTAGACATGTATTCGAAGCTTGGGGCAATTGCTTCTGCTGAAAACATGTTTGCTTTGATTCCCACTAAGAGTCCTGTTACGTACACTAACATGATATTGGGCTATGGACAGCATGGAATGGGAGCTAGAGCTCTTGCCTTATTCGATGAAATGCAGAGTTCAGGTGTAAAACCTGATGCAGTCACTTTCATTGCAGTATTATCTGCATGCAGCTATGCTGGGATGGTGGATGAAGGTCTTAGTATTCTGGAGTCAATGGAGATAAAATATGGACTTGAACCTTCAATTGAGCACTATGCTTGTGTGGTGGACATGTTAGGAAGAGATGGAAGATTGAGTGAGGCCTTTGAGTTGGCTGAACAATTGGGCGAGGTAGGTAGTGCAATCCAAGCTTGGGGATCACTTCTTGCAGCTTGCAAAACTCACAGACAATATGATTTGGCAAAGATTGTTGCCGATAAATTACTCAATTTGGAATCTAGAAATAGTAGGAGTGGGTACCATGTACTGTTATCAAACTTATACTCAGATGAAGGATATTGGGACCTTGCTGATAGAGTCAGAAAAGAGATGCAAGAGAGAGGTGAGAGGAAGGAAGTTGGCTGCAGCTGGATAGAGACTTTGGGTCGTGTAAACTATTTTGTGTCTAAGGATGTGAAGCACCTAGAATGTGAGTATGTGTATGAGATGTTGGCAAAGTTAGCTTCTAATATGGAGGATGCAGGATACACTCCCCTTTGTTATGGTGATACACAGATGGACTAGATATCCCATGGTGATAATCGAGGAGATGGAATTAAAGGAGTTATGCAGTTTAAGTAAGTTCAGTTAGTATCTAATCATGATCCCTTGCTCCAAGACAAGCTTCTGTCCAAGTAATTCTATGCCTTATGGAATTTGTATGTTCTGTAATATTCCTTCCTGCAAAGTTTTGATGCCCATGACATAATTTCAGGTGCTGGTTTAAAGTAAAAGTCTCATGCAAGTAATGATGTAGTAAGCTGCCCATCTTTTCCTGTCTTACTGGACTTGAAGCTGATTTCCTTTGTTGCGTTGAGGGGCGATCAGTGTTCATACAGCTTCTGTTACTAAGGATTTTGGGACATGGCAAGTCTTTTTCTGGCTCAGAAAAAGGGAAATTAAAAGGTACTGTATGTCATTGTGGTCTCACCAAATATGAAAGAGTAAAACGCTATACAATATGGTACCAAAAAAGGAGGGAGGCTGGGAAACCTTCAATATGTTCATTATTTTTTTATTTTTTTCTCAGCTCTTAAGCAAGGCATGTTCTGAAAACCGCTTTTCCAAATGTTGGGTGTCTATTCAGCTGACTTCCCAGACTCCATCCCCTATTTTTCTTGCAGCAAATCTATTTTAATTATTATTATTTTTTGGGGGGGTGGGTGCGGGTTGCTGGGTGCTGACTGATTATCCATATTAGTAATAAGTTGTTATGTTTTATTGATTGCCGAGTGACTACATTATTGTGACATTGGTACATAGGTGGAAGTTTGAATGCCTTCAAATGGCTTGAAAGTTGAAGAGCAATCCAGCAGACTGGAAATCCAAAATGGAGCTTCTTGAAGGTTTTGACTATTCTTTGCATCTTTAGGCTTTATCTCTGTACTGCAGTTCTGTTTGCTATCTCAGTGTTTTGTATAGGCCTCTATTCAGTTTTCATTCTGAAAGTCTATAGCTCACTCTTTTTTGTATGAATAGTTGAAGTTTGGTAAACAACTTTACGATTATTTCATCTCTGGCACCCTCCATATTCATATCAGATTCACTGTTTTTTTATTAAACTTTTGGGTTCTTTGAGCTTTACCATTTCTGCTTCTCTTATCTCCAGGCTTAATTAGGGGACTATTAACAAGCAGACGAATCGGCAACGTTATTTGTGGATGTTCTGTAGACCCATATATGATTTCTACTGTCAGGACTCAGAAGCTACATGCCTACATCTATTCTGAGGGACTTAAGGTTAAATTTTATAACTTCATGGTCCAGATGGTCCTGTTTGTGGCTGTTTGAATGTACTACTTGCCTTTGTACTTAATTCGATTTTAATTTGCATTTTATAGGCAGGCATGTGTCATGGCAGGCTTGTGTACCAGCCACCAGCACTGTGGATACCTTGCGTCATTGTAAAAGGTAATTAGAAAGATTTCTAGTTTCTTTGTGATCTCTTCAATTGTCTTTTGGCTTCTGATTTCGTTTTAAAATTGGTTGAACATTCTTCCTATAATTCCTATGGTTGTTGGCACTTGGAAACTAAATTGTGGAGTTTCTGTAAGATACTTGTGTTGTGGATCACTATAGTGATTTGATTGTATTCAGTGTCTGGACTTTTGGAGTTCTATTTTCTGACTTTTGCTGATTCTCTCCCTGCATTATTTCAAATTCGAATCTTTCTACAGAGTACTTAATTGACTTTGTTGTCTATATTCATAAGATTTCGTTTTTACGGGATTGACAAATGCATCCAATATCTCACACAAGTGCTTTAATTCTTCCTATTTCTGTGATTCTTACTTGGATATATATAGTTAAGTGCAGCATGGAACTTTTAGAGGGCGCCCCCATTGATCTTGTAGATAAATTTTTGTTTATCTATGCCCTTTTTTTCACTATTCATGGCAAAACCGCTACTTCAAGTAGCAACTTTGCACCAAACCGCTACTTCAATATTTACATTATTGCCACTAGATAAACTGAAGATCGCCTTGTACTTTCTCGAACTTTTAATTGTCCAAGGCTTAGGAATTGTATAATGAAAGCTTGCAGAATGAGAATATTATGGTTACGATCTTGGATTTTGTATTAGATATCTTCTGATTAATCTGCAATATGATTTTCTGATATTGACTTTTGAAGAAAGCTTATGTTATTTGCTGTCTGGCCAGGCGTCTGATTATACATTACTGTTATGCATTGTTGTTATCTGAACTGGTTTCTAGTGTAGAGCCAAGATGTCTTATGCCACTCATCTTCTGTGACATTCTGTGAATATTGTTCTTCCATATTTAGTAAAAGTAATCGTCTGGTTCAGCATTATAGTGATGTTTCAGGAAGTGAAAAAGTCATCTTACATCTTTCCTCTTTTATTCTCAGGAAGTCAACCTCCAAGTTCAGAATCTAAGTGGGAAATTGAAGATAAAAGTTTAGAGAACTGAATTCAGCTCTTTCTGCCCTTGCAAAATCTGAATTGTGATGTGATTTGTGCCATTGGTTTGGCTGGTGCACAGCCAACCTAACACAACTTGGTCAGATAAAAGCAAACCAAGAAGCAACTCTGAGAAAACAAGTGCTTCAGCAGTGTATGATTTTGGCTCATATTTTCTCGGTATCATTTTGTTCTCTTCTCATCTTCGTCTTTCCATGTTTCTTTTTGAAATGGCTGTTTAGACACGGAATGATGAAAGGAGTTCGAATAACATATTTCACATGTTAAAACACCAGCTAGAAAATATCTACTCTTTCAAAATACATTGGTTTAGTATGTAAAGATCCAGTAAATTGAATAAATTTACATAGTTAAAACCAAAACATTACAGTTGTGCTTTTGTCACAGGAATTTTTTATAGTGTAAACTTCTATCTGGTTCAGTTTTGGCTCTTCCGGAATTTCCTTTCTTCTGAGAGTCGTTCTGCTAGCCTGCACATGGTATACCAGCTATTAGTTGACAATTTTAGTCATAATTAATTCCCTAAATGTATGCTAAAGAATGCATGAGTTAAGGTGTAGTCTTTTTCTATAACACGTTCTGTGTATACATGTACCAATAATTTACTTCCTTGGTCCGAATATTATTAAAGAATGATGTCAATCCCGTATAATTAAGGATATGATGTACTAGTAAGTTAAATAAGGGGTACTTTCGGTTGTCTAGTTATGAGTTAATCCTACTTCAAGAAAGTTAACTTTATTCTATTATCCCAATTTTACTTAAAAGTTTGTGACTAGTATACTTGAACAATAAAAGGTGATTTATTTATCATTTTTTTGTCAGTGATCTAATCTAATACAGTATTAAGTATTAATACACAAGCAAGAACACCAAAATTTCGGAATATATCTAGGGTTAAACCTTGTGAGGACTTCTGCGTTGGTGCCCATGTCTTGAATAGCTTTGAGAAATCCAGTTTCAGGATCAACTCGTGAAGCTGGTTTGTTGAGCAACTCTTGACCAATTTTCACCAGATTTTGCATGTTCTCTTTTGTTGATATATCTAGTGATGTTGCTACTCCTGTTAAGCTATTATCCTGTTTCCATAAAAAGGAATGTTAATAACAATTCGTATAAAGTATGCTTGTGTTTTTGTTATGCATGTTATATCAAAAATCACACATTAAATTCAAGTTACGTGTATGACATAAATTTTGATTGTCACAAAACTCGTAGTGCACTTGGGTACATAACGCTCCATCCATCAAGCACGTGATTGGCTTGTACACGAGTGCATCTCCCCCGATCACTGTTAGACCTTGGTGCACAGTGCTACTACTGAATACTGATACAATGTAATGCATACATAAACGATTAACACATCGATCTACTTACTTGAATACGAAGGTAGTTATCTTGGGTTTGAGTAGCCTGAAAAAGAACACTATTGTGAAGATCAACCATATCACCTCCAGATTCAAAGAGACAGTCTATAATAGAAGTTGATCCACCATTCATAATCCAAGAAAGAGGCCCCCATTTTGCTGTCATTTTAGCATTATATTTTTCCTCATTCTTTGCTGATCCACTCCCTATTGAAATCACTAGCAACCTTCCATCATGCATGCGGTGAGCATTTGGGTTTTCCTTTATCATTTGTTTGCTCACTTCAATCATAGCTATCAAAGTCTGGACAAGGAAGACGAAAATATTTGTCAACTGTCAAAATTTTATACTAATAGACTTACTATTAGGATTACAGTGATTTCAATTAAGAAAACACTTAAGAATGTGTGGGATCAAATCCTAAAGTGTAAAATTACAAGACAATTGTAAAATATCAAATACAATTCAATGTATTACAATCGAGTATAAGAAATATCTAAGAAATTACAAAAATTCACAAAGATAACACTAGTGTAAAGATTGCCTTTTCTCCAAGCCGACAACAACCAACATGAACATGTGAATAAGGATGTCCCGTAAGACTTAAACCTTGATACACTGTCAAAGGCGTGTATACACTTTCCTAAAGAGGTTTATTTCCCCCACACGGTGCTTGGGTTAAACCAGAAATCCTCTTTGAGATACAATTGACAGCAAATTTCGTTCTTAGCACTAGAATTGAAAATACAATGAACAATTCACAAAGTAGGCTAAATTTCAAGAGTTTTTAACGAGAAGTTTGCAAGATTTCTAAATGAAAAATGAGGAGAATAAATTTCTAGGAGATGAAGAACCAGAGAGAAAAACTGAAAGAAAACTATATCTCTCAATCCTCTCTCTTTTATTCATTGTTTCTTTTACAATAAAAGAACGAAAAACTGCAACTGCCAGAGGGTCGCGGGCGCGGCATCCAGGGACGCGGGTGCTTGGGCCGCGGGCGCGGACAGGGTGAACATGGTTCACACCCAACTTTCTGGAGATGCCGGGCCGCGCCCTAGGAGAGGGCTCTCCCCATACTCGCGAGCGCGGCTTCCCTATGCTGCGGGCGCTGCATCCCGGCTCCCCACATACACTCTATATATTCCAACACTTACACTAATATACCATGAGAGAAATATGACTTATTATATCGGGGATAACTTTTAATGTCCCACAATAAGTTATTGTAAGTCTGTCTCACTTAATGCTTATTGTGCTTAATTATTCAATGTTAATATCTACTCTCTATATGTAATCACAACCTAAATCATTAGTGTAACATACAATAGGACAAGACTAATATGAAAAAGAGTTGTTTTTATACCGGATTATTGTCCACAATTCCACCATCAATAAGGTTAAATTCCCTAATACTTGGATCTCCAAATTGATATGAGGGAAGAAATGTTGGGGCAGCCGATCCGCCAATGCATATATCAGATAGCTTTGCATCAATAGAAGGTTGAGCTGGTATCTGAAGAATCAATACAATACTGTTATATTGTGCACTAGAGGGCATAATGCTGGAAGCATGAAGTGCATTATGCTCTCGAACAATACGTCGTAGCAAGAAATATTCTGATAGACGAAACAAAATAAATCATAAAACCAACCTTGAAAGAAGAAAAAATAACTGGTTGGAGCAACTTGATATCAAAAGCTGGAATAATGAGGTTTGTTAAAGTTTGATGGAGCTTCATCTCTTTTAAATCTTTTCTCAGCAAATTATGCAGATATTTGCCATCATATTTAGGCCCTGTCATTGATTTGAAAAGGCTAAATACTCCGCTGCAATGCATACAAGTAGTGTAAGCATACACGAGAGTAGTGTTTGAATAGTGTAAAATTTCAAACGTTCAATTTTGCTCCGTACCTTTCTTGCGGAAATATCTTAGGGGAGTGTTCTAGATAAAAAGGGATGATATCCTTGGCAGCATAAAGAGGGCGATTATTTTCATCTGGTGCTGTTAACATAGCACCTACTATACCACCAGTACTTGTTCCAGCAATCACATCAAAATAATCTGCTAATCTTGCATCCTCACCATCCAATTTCTACAATAATTATAATCCTACGGTGTATATTAGTATGTACACTAATCTATACTTATACATGATTAGTTATGAGTTGCTTATGACATTTTTTCTAAAATTGCACTTCTTGTAACATATTATCGAAATTGGTTATTGCTAATTAGAACTCCTTTTTTTTTTTTTTTTCGTTCTTATAATTATGACACCGATTTTTATTAATTGATCTCAATTTTTTTGTTGATTCAATAATGTTTTTATCATCGCGATAACCAAAAATCCCTCCTACTAAATATGTACTTACATAAAATTAGAGGTACAAAATAAACATACCTGAAGTTGTTGCTCGAGGAAACTAGCAATAATAGCAGGTATAAGACCGCGAACTCCACCACCATCCATGCTAAGGATGGTGATAAGCTTCTTGTTTTTGTTGTTGAATTTGATCACGGAAGGAGGATCTTGTGCTTGAGGCATTGCTGCCATTTTCGACTAATTGTTTCTTCAACACAATAAAATTAAAGATCAAATTAAGGTTGCAGAAGAAGTTTCAAGAAAATAAATTGTGCCTTAATTATGGAAAAACTATTAACAAGTTACATGCATTTATATTTGATATTCCAAATGGCTTGGATATAATTTGACTATAATAAACTTAATCTACTAGCTGTTCCTAATTAGTTGTATGTACAATATTATAAAAACAACTTCATCTTATGCATGATTAGTCATGTTATATTACTGTATATAGTTTTGTTTGATTAAAGTATACTCCATAAAGGTATTGTTTATATTATCAAAATAAAAGGAATAATAATTGCTTAGAAAAGGTCTAATTTGGTGGTGGCTTTGTACACGTTTAATTATTAAGTGCTGTTCTATACTAAAGACCAGGTTTTATTAGACTTTAGAATGTTTAGTAGACCAGGTTTTATAAGATTAAGTGGTTTTTATTGATAATAAATTGATATGATAAACATATAAGTATTTTTGGAAAAGAAGTTGTAAGTCAATATGTACATAACTACATATGTGGATAAATATAAATTCATCTCTAAACATGTGATTTTCTTTATAATATATATATATCGATCACGTATATGACTTTAAGGTTAAGTAGTGAGGAAAAAACAATGGCCTCAATGGACAAGGGATGAATAAATGTTAAGTATTGAAAATAAATCATATGACCGTTAACATTGAACTTTCCTTCATATAATAAAAACATGAAATTTACCGTGCAAATTACAAACAACTTATAAACTCATCACCATCATCGATCTTCCATAATTACTACCAACCGAATATGTATGTCAATTAGAACTAACTCAACTTTATATCTTAAGTCAACCATTATATTCTCAACTATTGGTAGTCATCTCAAACTAATTAATTTTAGCTAATGATTAATCCAGGTTAACGAAGCATTTAGCGAAAAATTATATTCCAAACTCTTAATAACCAAGGGAGAAGGAGACACGATACGGAGTGAGAGGTTGAGCATGTCACAAGGTACAATTTTTACCGACCGTAAAAGTACAACACCTAGCATCAAACTATAAAGACATAATGTCCATAATACAAGCACTCATATTTAACTTTTTCAATGAATGAAGCTACAGAGTACACAAACTACGAGGTGCAAATTAAAATACATGCATTGATGGATCCAAAAATTTAATTATTGGGTACAAAACTAAATTTAATAAAAAAATAAAAAATAATATATTAATATGTAGTGTATTACGGACCGAGTATCATTTTTTGTCAACTAAAATTTGAAATATTAGTTCATTATATCTTTGTATTAGTCTTTGCGTGTACGATATATTATACAAATCCTCTAACGAGGTTTATAAGTGAGTAACTACATATATTTGTGTGAAAAAAAAAAGTTTAACATGTTAGTGAAACCGGTGTCTTTGATTGAAAAGTAACTAATTTAACGTAGGAGAACATATGGATTATATGATTAATATCTAAGAGACCAAGTTTTAAATAATCGGTCTCTTTGATTTTAGCAAGGAAATAATAGGCGAATTGGTCTGGTGGCTTGGTTTTGTTAACATAGCAGTAACTAAGATACTTGTTGGAGTCTACAGGTGGTCTTTTTGGTACATTTTCAGAGGTTACTTATTCAGGGTTACTTATTTAGGATTACTCAATCAATCAAGAGTTACTTGTTGAAGGGTTACTTATTTAGGGTTTACTCAGTTGGTCAAGTATTACTCAGTTGGTTAGCGCATTTTCGGTGTGATAGTAACCCTTGACAGACCGAGTAACTCTTGATTGACCGAGTAACCCCTAACCGACCAAGTAACCCCGACCACATATAAAAATTTGTGTAAAAAATATTAAAATATGATATAAGGAGATCAATAGAGGGAAGAAAAATATTATGAAAGTTTTTAATTTTCAAAAATATAATAGAGCAAGTAATAAAAACGGCAAAAGAAAAGTGGATCAATTAATAATTAGTTATTAATTAATTAATAAAATATGGAAAGTGTAGTATGAATAGGAATCTTGGATTTTTGTAAAAAAAAAAAAACAAACAAAAAAACCATCATATAAAAACACCAAACGGCCAACCTCTTTCTAATAATAAAACAAAAATAAAAACACTCAACGCGTTAGAAGTCCGTAATTCCGTAATAAATAAATTTTAAAAATCAATAAATAATAAACGAGAAAATCTAAGTTTATGTCCGCAATATTAAAGAGATTTTTTTTTTATAAGATAAACATAATAAACTTTAATTTCCTTTTTAAAATACCCTCCGTATTTGTATAATATACGAGTAGATTCCTATTCCGTATATTGATTAGTTTCAATTTTATACGATTAGTAACTTTTTGTTGGTTGATTTTACAGATTTTTTATTTTTGTATAATTATGATTTCATTCGGTTAAGTAGGGTTTAGATTAACGATATTAGAGCAATTATTGATCTTCACTCGAGGATGATTAATACTATGAGCTTGTAAAGAACTTAGCAATGCATGTTCTCATGTTTTAATAAGTGTTATACTTCTATTTTTGACAAAAGCTATATTTTAATATTAGGAAAAATTGATTTTAATAATCACACCTTTGCCCGATTCGCGGTTAATAATCCCACCTTTTACACATTTTTTCTTGGAAAAATTCATGGGAATAATCCCACATTTGGGCTATTCTTTTTTAATAATCCCACCTTTGAGATATTATTTAATAATCCGACCTTTACCCCCCATTCTTTTTTATTGGTCCCATTTTACCTGAAACCGGTTAAGTAGGTAAATTTTTTTAAAAGATTAATTGACACGTATCATTACATAATTGGTAAAAAAAAATTAAAAAAAAATAAACCCCCCACCCAAAACTCAGCCACCCCTACCATTACCACCACCCCAAACCCCCATCCGAAACCCAGCCCTATCCCCACCATAACCACCACCTTAAACCCCCACCCCGAACCCAGCCACCACAAACCCCCAGCCCCCTTCTCCTTCATTTTCTCTCTTCTTCTCTCTCTGCAAATTCCCAACCACCATGAACTGCCATTTCCGATGAAACCATCAAGGACGAAGGACGAAGGTCGAAGGGGAAATCGAAAAGGGGTAGGGTGGATTGCTCGGATTTCAGAGGGGAAGGGGGTGGGGTTGTCTGATTTGGGAGGGGAAGGGGGTGGGTGGTCGGATTTCAAAGGGTAAGAAGGTGGGGTGGTCGGATTTGACAGGGAAAAGGGGTAGGGTGGTCGGATTTGGGAGAGGAAGGGGGTGGAGTGGTCGGATTTGGGTAGTTTTGTGGGTGGCTACGATGGTCGGGTTTAGGTGGTTTCGTGGGTGGCTGGGGTTGAATGGGGTGGTCGAGTTTAGGGGTTTTGGGTGGTTTCGTGGGTGGCTGGGGTTGAATGGGGTGGTTGGATTTTTTTTTTTTTTAAAAGGTTTTTTTTAATTGATTTTTTTAACTTTTTTTTTGGACTAATTACAGGCCGCCACGTGTCATGTAACCTGTTATAACAGGCTACATGACCGGTTGGGACCAATAAAAAAGAATGGGGGTTAAAGGTCGAATTATTAAATAATATCTCAAAGGTGGGATTATTAAAAAAGAATGGCCCAAAGGTGGGATTATTCCCATGAATTTTTCCTTTTTTTTTCCGGCTATTTCACCAAATGCCACTGAGTACTTAAAAAATTCACCAAATGCCATCAAGGTTTTCAAAATTCACCAATGCCATCGAGCTTTTAAAAAAATCATCAAATGCCATTAATGACTAACGGTCGTTAACTCCGTTAGTCATTAAGATTAAAGCATGACACGTGTCATGATATGATTGGTTCATTTTAATTTATAAAAATAATTTTTTTTTTCTCGATTTTCGTGACGATAATTTTTTGGGTAAAGTTTTGGGGGTCATTTTGATCCTTTATGGATACAAATAAGCTCGGAATTGGCAAAAAAATAGCGTAAATACCCCATTTTGTGTGTTAAAAAAATATCTCGTTTAGCGTGTTGTTATTTTTTAACCATGAAAATTGATCGGGTAAGATTTTGGGGGTCATTTTGATCCTTCATGGGTACAAATTAAGCTCGAAATTGGCAAAAAAAAAAATAACGTAAATGCTCCATTTTGTGTGTCGAAAAAATTTTGATTAGCATGTCGTTATTTTTTAACCATAAAAATTGATTGGGGGTAAGGTTTAGGGGTCATTTAGACTCTTTATGGGTTCAAATTAAGCTCGGAATTGACAAAAAAAATAACGTATATGCCCCGTTTTGTATGCTGAGATCGTAATTTTTTTGCCGGAAAAATTGCAAAACGGAGCATATACGTTTTTTTTTTGTCAATTTTGAGCTTAATTTGAATTCATAAAGGATCAAAATGACCCCCAAACCTTACCCAATCAATTTTCATGGTTAAAAAATAACGACACGCTAATCGAGATATTTTTCGACACACAAATCGGAGCATTTACATTTGTTTTTGCCAATTCCGAGCTTAATTTGTACCCATAAAGGATCAAAATGCCCCCTTAAACTTTACCGAGCAATTTTCGTCACAAAAATCAAGAATTTTTTTTTATTCATTAAAATAAATGATTATTGTGTATTAATTTTAAAAAGTAATGGCATTTGGTGAAATAATTTTTCAAAGTAATGGCATTTGGTGAAATAAGACTTGCATTAACAGAGAACTAACGTCCATATGCAATTAATGGCACGAGGTGTCATTGTACTATTTGTCAGTGGCATTTGATGAATTTTGAAAACCTTGATGGCATTTGGTGAATTTATTAGATACTCAGTGGCATTTGGTGAAATAGTCATTTTTTCTTTTGTTGGTCCTATATGACCGGAAACCGGGTACTAAAGTCAACATAAAATATTTTTACCTTTTTATTTTTTTTATTAAATATTTTTACCTAAGGTTGTTGGTTTCCTTTGGTTTCCCTCGTAAAGTTTTTGGTGGGTTATTAATTACACCCAACTACTTATGTCACATCATTGTTCTTCTGTCTCTTCCATTTCTACTCAATTAAAGCAGTCTCCCTCCTCTAATTAGCTAATTTCATCGCCATTATTGAACCACCAACCATCCTACAACATTTGTACCTCCTAAAAGCATCAAGATTTTTGCGTCAAAAGGGCGAAAA